TATGACCTGCGGCTCCTTAGCAAATAAGTTGTGATGAATTTAACCTTCAAATGGCGAGCCACTGTTAGACTAGTGGCAGCAGCACACGAATCTATTTTTAGGTCAACGATTACAGTAATCAGGATGATAAATAGAGCCGGTGAGATAAAAATAGAATGAGCACGGGATACGATTGTTGGGATACGAGATAAGGGCTCCGATTCTCACTGCGTGGTTTTCATCAGCGAGACGTCAAAGCAATCGGCAGCTGTGTAATATTCCCAGAAAAATCGGTGAAGTGGGCGCCAGAAGTCGGACAATCAGAAGAGGGGCGTTGATAAAGACTGAACAATCGCGTTCGAGGGGCGTTGGTGCAGCGATTGGGGGCGTCGGCGCAGGATGAGTATCGGCAAAGGGCGGTGAAAATTGTTACTCCTCAGCGATAGAAGAAGAGACACCTCAGTCAGACTACCTCACTGTGAGCAAACCCCAGTCCGCTCCATCTCAACTCGACTGCTATTGACATATCGACTACCGATGCATCCCGGATCTGGCGCACGACTCCATAAAACTTTCAAACGCCAGAAAAGTTCGGGGCTGTCACAGTATGGCCATCTCACAGTCGGTGGCCGGTTCGATGGCCATTTCACAGTCGTCTGGACAGAGGCTCATAGAGTCCAATGTCCATAGTACGTGACACCTCGGACAGTGGACGCTCGCACCGTCCAACGCCCAAGCCGTTCCATCCATTACAGAGAGCGGCAACAGTTCATCTCGTTTTCACTCTTCCCAAAAAGAAAAGAAGACACGCCACAGTGCGCCAGCTCCGATCTCACAAAAACCCGTCCGCTAGCTCTGACACCTCGGGAATACCCGTGAGACATGAGCCGGCTTTGACCTCGTGAGTAAATTGCCCATAAACCAGCTCTAACTTCGGAAGCAAACAACGCCCCAGCTCCAGCCTCGGCAGAAACCTCTGCATCACTATTCTCCGCGTGAGCACACCTGCATCCCGGGGCCGGGAATGTCTGATGTGGCAAACAGCGTCGGCACACGGGCGGCGGTAGCCTGTTTACTGCTCCGAGGGGCGGGCCATCGCCGCGGGCCACCTCCGCGCTCCGGTGCCGCGTGGTGGGCGGAGGGAGGAGGAGGCACACAGGGCATTTGAATGTGGCGCCAACGAGGTCGGCCGCGGGCGGCGAAGAAATGGCGCGAAACAGCCAAGGTGAAGGGCTGAGGATGGCGGAGAGATTTGAAGTAAATAATTATGCTAGGAGGCGGTTCACGATGAAAGTAAAGCAAGGCGGGGTAGGCATGATAGGAGATGAATAATTCAATAGTGCACAGTGCAGTATCTAACGGGTAAGAAATCTATTCCATGCGCAAGATCCAGTGAAAAATTAGGCTTCAAAACTTTGGCCGTACGGCCTAGCTTCTCGACGCCGCTGTAGTCAAGTAGATCACCCCCTCTAGGCCCACCTTTGGCCCTCTCCCCTCCCTCCCGTCCCCATAGGCATGTAGCAGGTCGGAACATGTCAGGGGGTGTCACTCTCCCCTGTATCGATCTACCCCAGTCCCGCCGCGGCCCCGCGCCCGACGGTGCACGACCTCACGGGCTTCCTGTTCAGATCCGCCAAATTAATCCACCTCATAACTCCCCGAGCTACCGCGCGTTTGTCCAGCACGCTGTCATACGTCTTCCCAATGTGTTGGTATTACACCGAAGTAAGCCAACCCCGCCACACTGCGGCGGAGACACTGCGAAACGTGGCGAAACGTCTCGCGACGCGCGGCGAGTGGCCACGGGTCAACGCGCCCGACCGGCCGGGTTGATGACCCGGCGTCGGAACGACGTTCAAACTGCGTCATTCTGCCGCCGCCGCCGCCGTCGGGCTTTCCCAGCCGTCTGAATTCGCTCCGCGGGTACGGCATCCCTCATCAGAGTTCATCATAGAGCGGGGTGAGGTCGGGCTATATCACACAATTTAAAGGGACCATCCCACCTTAACATTAGTTTTGAGTTGAGATAGCCAAGTTTGCGGCCAGGCTCAGAAATCACCATTTATCCTGGTCGCAACCCCCGCAGCTTTATGGTGTTCAAGAAATTTCTTCCCTTTACTTGCAGGGTGGGACCAGCTTAGTCCCTATCTCTTAACCATTAGCGGTTTTTTGATGACGTCAGCAGTCATTTCAACGCCCGCCATTCCTTGAACCCGAGTTTTGCTGACCTTGAGCTCCCTTTTTTATCAACGTGAAATCCGTCGTCGGCACTGAGAAAGCCTATTGCTTTCATTTTAATTTGAATATTAGAAGGTACCCACCACTGGAACTTGGACTGATATTATACCAAGGCCGAAGATTACTTTTACCATGATGATCAAGCTGCCTGCTATATCTGGAGCTTGGTGTTCAACTTCAACATGGAATAAAAAACAAAATATCAAAGCAAACTGGATATGGTACTGCAAGTTAAAGTCCAAAGAAATTTGAAGAGCTGACAATTGACATTAATTCTTTTCCTGCAAGGTTTCCATATGGAGATCACACCATGAAGAAATATTTTTGATGTTAACAGTTGAAAGGGGATTGATCTTCCAGTTTTGACGAAAGACGCTGCTGACTGTCTTTGGAAAAGGATGTCGGCATGAGGTGCAATTGTGCTTGTGAAGTGGTTATAACTGGTCTTTTCACAGTATTAAATTAAATGTGCCATTGCAGCCAAGTGTGTTATCATGTAAGGTAAAATCAAAACTACAATGTTGGTTTTACGAGCATTGAGAAGGCTGGTAGGTAACACCTGCCTGTGCTCTTAAATCATGCTGCCAAAGTATTCTAAATTAATTTTATCATACACTTTTGTTGTCCAGAATGGTTGCACTATTGTTTGGTATCATATTATTCCATGTAAATATGGTATTGTAAAGTCTGACCAACATGCTACCAGATTTGAAGCTGATACGTTACCTAAGTACCTGTTTTTTACTGGCGTGGTGAATGTCACCTGGATTTTGTTTTGAGGTGCAGACCTAGTAACTCTGACTACATGGGTTTGAAGCTATTATCTATTCTGTTTTTACTGGCCTGGTGAATGGCGACTGATGTTGTCCGTGGATGGCACTGAAACAAATTTTGAGTGTCATGTACAGTGTTTTAATACAATGCTGGGGGCTGAAAGTTGTCTTGTTTAGAGTGGTGAAAGTTCAGGATATGCCAGCCACCATGGTGGGTCAGTGTTAATGTGTTGCAGTCAGTTCGGCTTCGGCAAGCACACGGATGGGCATACGCATCAAGACCTGCTCTGCCATACTTTAAGCCAATTTAAACCTAGGTAAGTCTTTTCTTTTTTTCTGCCAAAAGCTATGACATTGTGAATTTCAGTGCTGTGGCCTGTGTGTAGCTTTCAGGAAAGCAATTCTAAATAAAGCTCTGATAAAGTGCAAAATCAGCAATGCAGCCCTCTATTACATTTTCTACAATATCTTACTTGTTCCTTGCATGGAGAGAAAAATGCAATGTTATGAATTTGTTTATTCACATAATTTGACAAGCATGCAGTTACCTGCTACTATCACTGCACAAAACAGAGCAGAAAACATCAGTTGATCAAACACAAGACACAACAGAAGTTTACAACATAGGGCTGCCGAACCTGCTTCCTCCCACCACAGTTGATGCCATTTCCTAGCCTGGCTTGATGTGAGCACTGAATAGCTGCTTTGTCTAATTACAGCTCACTACCATTCAAGTTAAACTACTCTCTTTAAAGTAAGAGTGAGAGCGTTCAGTGTTCATAGCAGCTCGACAGACGACAGACAACAAACATCTTGACAAACCAACCAGTATTTGATTTGGCTAATGATTTATGTGCCTGTTGTATCATGGCCAAACTACTTTAACAGCAATAATCCCTGTTTCATCTTGATCTTGCTTTTAATTCCATTTGAACTCAGATCTTGAAACAATCATCTGAAGTGATATCAGATACTGGCTTCTGTTTCTCTTGAAAGCAAGTTAAAACAACAATGATAAACTAAGGCAGGAGATGTGAGTTGTGGCAGTAGATTTTTGATTCAACATATGTCAACCTTATATTGCTTGAGACCTCTGTGACAGACAAACAAATATTTATAGTTTTTTGATAGTTTGGATTATTGGCTTGATTTAGACCTTGACTTTGAAATCACATAAATGTCATGGTACCCGAACGAATCCTCGCATGACATTTCTTCGTCCGCATTTCTTCGTCTACAAATCTTCGTCGGTGCATTTATTTGTCCATCAATGCTTACTCTTGCATATATTTGCGTTGAAGAAGAAATGCGAGCCGATTTTCATATACCCTGATGCGAGACAAAGTAATGCGATACGAATAAATGCCCTGACGAAGATTTGCAGACGAAGAATTGCGATACGAAGAAATGCCATAAGAAGAATTGTCCTGGAATCCTTTATTGGCCATTATATATTGACCTTGATAAGATAAACGCATCATTCGCGCAATATTTGTCGCACTTTGATACCAAACTATTGCTTCCAAATGCCGACGTAAAGAAAACCTTTATGTGACGTCATAGAAGCAGCGGAGTTCCCAAAAAGTAAACAAAAATAAAAGTCTTATATCTCGAAAACGGGTGAATATTTTCCGGTAAAATTTGGTAGATGTTCATTTTCGCTCTTTGTGATTCACGCTACATCACTTTTATGCCAATTCATTAACTTTTTTGAAGGTGGGAGGGTCCCTTTAACCGTCTCGCAGCCGTCTCATTGAGCCCCATCAAAAGGAAGACACCATCGCGTTAGCAAAAGACGTCATCAGAGGGCAGACACCTACAGACTTCATTATCAAATACGAAAAGCATTCAGACCTATCGAGTGCCACCACGCAGCCCAGCGCGACGTAGCCTTGCCTCCTGGAAAGACAGTCGGAGAGGGCGGAAGTAGCTAGTTCCGTAACGGAAACAACGCCATGCGACAAATACAGACGGACAACGGACGACGGACGACCCTGAATGAGAACTTACCTCGTCTAGCAGACGACGCCAAGTCCTTCAGAGACGATGTCAGGCCTCCTATATTTTCAGCTCGGGGCCACCGGAACCTACGGGGAAAAACCAGCTGGTTAGCGGGCGGACCGGAAGTAACAGAGTAAATAAACGGCTTCGCGGTAAATCAACCGTGAGCGGTCGTAATCGGCTCGAGACGTCATCAAATGTCGGTCAGGCTTTGCTGTACCACGCAGCATATCGTGCTTTTTAGAATTGCCCGATACGAAGTGAATATGCAAGAACCAAGAAACAGGCCACAGGGAACACGGTGTAAATGAATGAACGAATGAATGAATGAGTGAATGACGGTGCTTCATGAATGACGACCGCGACTATGAAAACACAATTACAAGCACCACGTCGAGTGTTAAATTCACTCATGAACAGCCAACGAACGAGAAGTGGTCCGGTTAGTGGCTCGGCGCACATCCGGGCCAAGACTCGGTGAAACCGACACAAGCAGCTGACGTTGCTTCAGTGAGAGAGTAAAGAAGCTCCAGCTTTCGAGCCGCGGCAGTGGGTCATGAAGATGTGCAAATAGTAGAGAAGGAACGCCTCATCATGCGTCAGTTTTTTTTCAGCCACGGCGCCGCACAAGAAACTGACCAGTCAAGGGAACGTTTCGCATTGCAAAATTGCAGACAGCGCAGGTCAAGGCATGCAGAAGGTGCACTGGGTCGTCTACAAGCTGAAAGACAGTCACACATACCTTAGGTCGTACGCAGCGACTCCCTAGGTTACTGCTGGCTATCTGTTTTCCCAAAAATCGTGAACACTCAGCTCAACCAAACGGGAGCTGTCCACACACGTCCACAGTCGCTCTCCAACTGAAAGTTCTGGCGCGCCGCCATAGGGGGCGCGCCGCACGCGCCGCCTGGCGGTCCCGCGCGCAACGCTGAATGATATTGACGAGCGGCGAGGCTCCGCCCATTTGGTGCGCTCAGCTCTCAAACACGGGACAACAAAACCTCATTTTACTCAAATCTCTACGCTATGTTTGATAATGCTTGTTTTGAAATAGATACCAAAATAGTTTTATAGTGGTCGCCTTACTATAAATAATGCTTTTCTCGTTCCTCTGTTTTATAGCTGAGCGCACGCAGAGCGGCGAACCGTATTTACTACGCATATCCCGTTCAAAACAGATCGTAGTAGAGAGACGGTACAGTCTCGAAACTGCTGCGACGCAGCGCGCCAGGCTGTACGGTGGGAAGTGTTTGTTGTGGATTCGGCAGGTCCCAGAGGTGAGAGGATACCCAGGCGCCAGGCGGACGCGCGCTCCAGATATGCTTGGGATGGTGCAGCATCCCGAGCCCTTGGCGTATTGCCACTAATTTTTTATGAGAAAGCTACGATTGGATGCGTGAAACGGCTGGCGCAGAATGTAGTCCGTAGACGTCTATGACTTACGAGCTGGAGAAAGACGTCTACGGTGGTCACTGGTCAGTGACCGTGACACCTCGTAATGTGGGGGGGGGGGGCGGGGATGTTCCCGTTACCCCAGCCTGGTCGGCCTTATAACGACAAGAGATAGGAAGCGTTCAATTGATAGTATAAAATCAATAAGAAACAATTTCAGTCATGAGTCAGGGAGGCCAACAAATCAGGCCACCGGGAGCTATTACAGATCATTTTTTCTGACTGTGAGTTGTGACTATTTGGGACAAATGTTCTATTACTCGTGAACGGTACCGGCAGAGATACCGCATCACGAAAAGGGCTATTGATAGAGCGCCACCGCCAGCCGCCAGGGCGGCGCAGCGGGATCCCGGATCATGCATTGGGGCGGGGACGTCTACGAGTAGTTCTCACTCGCGCATGATGTATCTATGAAAAAGTCATTCTCCAAAGCTAATGATGACCTTTCATGAGGTCATCATATTTCTTCCTACAGTTATCTTCCTTCAGTACCTATTGCTGAAAAGTAAGACAATAAATGGCATTTTTGTTACTATAGCCGGTATAGCACAGAGTTGCTTTCGTCGATTCCATAGCTTGACCCATAGACCTCTGTATACAGGGTGTCTCAAAAGTTCGTTCACAGGTACCAGCCATGCTTTTTTGTCAATAATTCTGAATCAACAAGAAATTAACAGTCGAAATTTTGCATGGGCATTGGTGACAACCTTCCTCAAGAAGTCTCATTGTTTTCAAGTGCATTCGACCCTTCATGAGCTCACAAAAAGGGTTCACCTCTGACCATGGGTCAGGCACGAAAATGTAGGTTGCAAAGTCGGGTATGTTGTGAAACTCTCTGTTTCAGGAGTAATGAGAATGGTTAAGTCGGAAATGACACATGGCTAAGGGTCGGCGAGGATGAGTGCAACATGATGATCATCTCATAAAAACGGTGGCTAAAATTTTTGAAGGACGAAATTATGCGAGACTAACGGCGTTTTGAACGACCCTCGCACGACAGCAGACTCGTGTTCCGGAAAGCAGCTGAAAATGCGGTCATAACTATTGAAAACTGGCAAGAAGGTCACAGACAGAGGTTACCCATTTTCAAAAAGTGCAGGCCATCGTAAAATAAAGACAAATTATAATTTAAAATTGTTTATAATATCTATACCGCTAATTTTTGGGGACAAAAACACAAAAATCGTCAATGCCAAGGACACCTGACCCTCCAAAAGTGTCAGTTATTGTAAAATGTTGTCTAACGAAGTTTTAAGAGGCAGATCTGCAGCGAATAATTTTCTTTTAAAAACAAAATCCCGATAAAACCACACGATGGACAGGTTTGGGCCGTTTACAAAGCAGAACATCTCCCGAGGAAAACACTCCGCAACCGAGCGAAGGTCTTGGCATGGGGAATGACGAGCGCTTGGAATTTGCAAAATTTGCACAATGTGTCTGAGAAACAGACGTCCGACACATTCTGCTACCATATGGTGCGAAAAATTTACTCCTGGCACTTCCCGTTTGTTCAGGACTGGGGTCGTTTTGAAAAGGAAAATGGCGCTTGGGATGTCGGCGCCAGTCATTCATGAAGGAGTTAGCGCCAGAGAATGCCTACAAAATACTCAAGAATGGTGTCGATGCAAGCTGTCGGCTTTCAGGGAAAATCAGATGTTGCCGGGGAGCTAGTCAAAACTAAATCCGACGCAGAAACTGCAGGGGATTCCCCTGCAAGAGCTTGAAAGCTGGTAACCTTTTATCAGCCTCCGGCAGCTGACGGAGCAACAAAAATCGGTATGGGCAAATATTTTTGGAGATACAGCAAAGGGGTTGGCTTCCAACCTTCTTAATCAGTTGTCAAAGCATGCATATTTGTCTAGTGTACACACAGACACCAAAACCTTATACTTTTGGCCGGTTCTTATATGCTTTATTGGCATGGGAAATGTGTGAACGAACTTTTGAGACACCCTGTACAGAGGTCTATGCTTGACCTCAAAAGATGTTAAAAAGTTGACTTCAGGTCAAGAGAAGGGAAACGGGAAGGGCTATATCGTCTCCACCGCGGTAGAGGAGTGAGCACGAGACGACGTGTCTATCGTCAGCGTCTATTCCGTCCTCGGCATAACTCAGTCCACGATGACGTGAAATGAAGGGGGATCTCCGGGATCGGACTCGTGCGTCATCATGTCCATCACGACAATTTCGGTAGTCGGTGCCAGCTTCACGGATATTCGTGCGTTGGCTACACGGATGTGTTGCACCATTACTGCGTAGTTGCGTATCCATTACCAGTTCCCGCCCCGCAATCATTAATAATTGCGTTCGACCTTGCTCCCATTATATATTCCACCGGTTCAGCTGCACACACGGATATGAGACTAGCGTATTCAATGACGTCATCACTCCCAACTCCCCGTCCCGTGACGTCACAACTTTGTATTTCGGTCAGCCATGACGTCAAACAGTTGAGTTTCCTTGAAACTTGAAAACGCATAGACGGATGAAGTTTCGATACACTTGTAAAACTAGTTTGAATCGTTTGCATTTGTAATAGCAGAGAACCATTTGGGCGGTATCCGTGATCCGTGGCCCGTATAGTTCGTGGCTTATCCGTGTTCCTGACGGCTGACAATGTGTAAATTATTACCCAGCTTCGATGCATCCTCAATTGTAGATGAATTCACGTCGGCCAAACGTCAACTTATCACACCATTTGCAATTATATTATTAATACTTTATGAGCATCTCCGTTCTTTCGATAGGTAGTCTGTGTCATCGTAGGTCTAATCATAGACGTTCCGCTTCTTCCCTTTATACATCAGGCATCGGGTCCGGCATTCATCACTTAATCATTCCACCACTGCAAACTGCGTCGCTTACGTTACGAAAAAATGCTATTATACATGCTCGCCCTACGGTCAATGGCGTGCTGGGACGAGGTCGAAACGACCACCTCGTCATCTACCGGCGGCTCTGCGAACTGCACGTGCGTGGAGCCGCTACCTTCGTCTGAGGGCGCCACCGTCGTGGCCGCGGAGGTGAGGGAGCCTCCTCCCGGCGAGGCGCTGCTGGCAGAGCCGCTGCTTCCCGACTCATCCGAGTCAGCCAGATGACAGGAGGTGGCGTCGGTCGCCAGCGGCGGCGGCGGCGGCGGCTCGGCCGCGCTGCGTCGCTCCGACTGCACGTAGCAGAGGATGGCTACAGCGAGCAGGATGAACCAGAGGCCACCCACAATCCCCAGTACCACGGGCAGGTAGTGACGCAGCGGGTCCGCCTCCGGGCCAGCCGGCGGCGGCCGCTCGGTCCGAGGAGGCATCTCGGTCTCCATCTGCATGGTCAGCTCGTCTGCCGGCAACTGGGACAGGGTGACCAGCTGTGCCAGCAGCACCGACGGCGCTGACGGCGAGCGGGCTACTCTCAGGTGCAGGCGCGGGTCTGGCTCGTGACGGGTCACCAGCGGTGAGCCCAGCAGCAGTGGTGACAGCGGCTGATCGCCATGCGCCAGCAGCAGGAGCGTCACCCGCCGGAGACGAGGCGACACACGCACGATCGGTAGGTGATCGGCGAGGTGCAGCACCCGGTACAGAGTCGGACCGGCGTGGGTGTACAGTAGACGGGTCTGGATCCGCTCCAGGTCGGACGGCCGGTGCTCCAGGTGACGGCGGAGGTGGGTCGGGAACAGCGCCAGATGCAGACGGTGGTCAGCCGGAGCCTCCACTTTGGCAGACCACAGGAAACGACGAGCCTGGCTCGGTGCGTCGGCCACCATCTCCATACCGCTGTGCACATAGGCCAGGGAGAAGAAGATGGAGATCGGGAACGGGGGCAGTGAGAAGCCCAGGCTGGAGGAGGAGTCTGGTGACGACAGCTTGGTGTCGCACTTTGGCCCGCTGTAGTCGGGCAGACACAGGCAGAGGCAGTCGTGTAGTAGGAAGCCATGCTGGCAGTCGTGAGGGTTACAGTGCTCGCCGTCCTTTGAGAGTTCTTTAGAGCATTGTTTTTCGGTTAGATAAAAACGATCGTATATAGATAGCCGGGGATTTGTTGGCATTCTTACGTAGAGTTTCCACATATCGTGAGGGTCCTTCGTAACAACAGCAGGAATATCGCCGTTCTGAATGGATTCGAAATCACCAAAAGTGATTGAGAAGTAATCGAAAGGATTTCGGGTATCGATGCTCGCACATTTCACAAACAGCTGAGAGCCAAACATTCTTTCAGGCAGTGTGTTCGGATTCATCAAATCATATCTCAGCATTTCCAGTCGAAGCTGTATGTATTCGTCGCGATCCATTCTGTTTAGCTCGTATCGAAGTCCCAGAGAAGCTAAAATTGATGCCGCAATACCCAGCGCGGACACTGGGGATGAAAATATTTGCTTTTGCCCCGACTCCGAAGAAGTAAATACGAGCGATTCCGTCTTATCTAGAGTCGTACAGATTGTCCACGGATCACGACACTTCTGCACCGATACGGACATTCGTGTGAAATTCAAACATGTGAGATCTTCTACAGCCAGCAGCGCCGAAGTTGTATCGTTCGGTCGAAATGTTTCGTTTTGCAGTTTATAATAAGCTAGATGGGTCGGCAACGTTTCAAACAGAGTACTGTTCCACAGTCGCTCGGGGGCTTCGTCGATCAATGCTGGACTCCAGTGCGCCGTTCCGATGACTGAGAAGGCCGTCGTGGAACGCAGAAAGCTAACAAAGAGCACGACTGCAAATGCCTTTGCAAATCTAACACTTTTCTTTTTCTTCCAATAACCACAACGCTTCTCATTACAAGCATTCCTAGAAATAACGACGAGCGCGATTACCGGAGTCATTATAGCAAATTGTTGAACGTTTTCCGTAGACCGTATGAATACACGCAAAACTATTAAACTTCAGATCTAACACGATTTAAGAGCCGTTTCGCTCTGTCGACGCAAGGACTCTGACATCGCTTACAATACCGGACTTTCTTACAAAGAATTCGAGCAATTAAAATGATCGTAAGGCTACATAACTACTCGCAACTTTCGAACGTATTCGTGATTGCAATCGTCCGTCGATTGTAGTTGGATTGTAAGCAACTTGTAGGACGGTCCCAAGCTCGCAGGTGTTCTGCAGCAGTTCAGCCCGTGCATTACTTTCAACTCAGCTTTCCAGCAGCAAACTCAATTAATTTGCGAAGCATGAAGCCGGGGTGACCTCTGCGGCTTCACCGCTTTTCATCATCGCTTTGCAGTAGATGGTAAAACTTAAGGTAAGCTTTGCAACTGAAAATTAACTTGAATAAAGTAGCGCATCATACATGAGAAAATAGTCCTATGCGTTTAAATGACCCAAACGAAACGTCACTGCTCACATGATTTCCTTAATTAATCATTGTTAAACACTCGTTAAAGTGAGTTGATCACATGTGAGCGCCGAATAGTCGGAGCAAATTCGTTATCCATCCTACAGAATCGAGAAAATGTCAACAACTCCGAAGTCTACCAAGACCAAGTCGAAAAATGGTCCTAAGGTAACAGCAAGCACGACAAAAGGCTTTGTGACGCAGAGAAGAAAGGCGTTCGCCGCTTTGGTATGCGTGCTGTCGGTCTCCGTAGCACTTTTGACCATCTTCTACGCATTCGAGCTGGAAGAAAATGACGAGTAAGTTATGAGGAAACGTCCCAAATGAGTGCCGCACCGTTGAAAATATGAATAATAACCCAGCATCACGAGACGTCTATTGAACATTGGCAGCAGATAACTTAATGCTTGTTTACCTATCCTACAATCTTTTAGATTAAGTCGCAGACCGAGTTGAGCAATTATGAGCCGATGTTTACATCATGTATCATCATCATATTGCTTAGGGCACCGCGCTGCAGAGCAGAGTCGTCAGTTGGACAGCTCGCTCCAGCTGAGGGGCCGGGAATATATCAAACAGTTTTGGGTGTCGCAGCCGTGTCACGACACAAATACCAGAAATAGCCAGAACCGACTTGTGATTCACCATCTCTGTGTATAGTTTAGCTATCAAAGCTACATCACCACGCTAACAATGATCCCAGTGCTAGCCCAAGACTGCTCGACTAATTCGTACTCTCGCGGCTAACCTGTCTTTCTCTCCCCCTCAGGCACATGTTCGTCTGCCACCCTCCATCGGCCATCTTCTTCCTGAAGGTGCACAAGTGCGCCAGCAGCAGCATCCAGAACATGCTGTTCCGCCTGGCCGAGCGGCTGGACATGCCGGTGGCGCTGCCGGAGACGGGAAACTACTTCGGTCACCCCCGGCACTTCAGAGCGCATATGGTGCACCGGCCTCTGGGCGCGCACAACACCACCTACCGCCTGATGGCGCACCATCTGAGACTCGACCAGGAACAGGTCATGAAGGTCAGTGACACGGCGACCACGGGGCCGGGATATTCACCAGCTGCTTCTCGTCGTGCATAACAGCATAAGAGTTGGCTGGGGCCGCTGAGCTGGAAGGTGAAAAGGTAATGTGAACATGCTGTTGGGTTAGGGCTTAAACCGTCACTTCCTTTTTGGAGGACATGATAAAAAAGTTGTTTTGTTCATAAAATCACACCGTAGAGGCGTAGACCCAAGTTCGCTCGTCGTTTGCTAGCGTATGCTCTGTTATCTCGTTTCTAGGCTGTAGACCGTCCTTCACTCGGCCGTTCGCCAGCCTGTCGCTCAGAATGATGACCTCTGCCCCTCCATAACCCACCCTGCCCCACTGACAGGTGCTCGGTCCCAACGCCACCTGGCTGGCCGTGCTGCGCCGGCCGGCCGACCAGTTCATCTCCATGTTCGAGTACTACCGGCTACAGGAGGTGTGGAACATGACGCTAGCCGAGTTCGCCGCCTCCACCACCCAGTACGAGCCGCTGGGGATCACACATTTCCGTCCCAACCAGATGTCGTTCGACCTGGGTCTGGACGTGCGGACCCTGATGTCAGACGACCAGCTGCTGGGCGACACCCTCACTCAGCTGCACCAACGCTTCGATCTCGTCCTCATCGCCGAACTGCTGGACGAGTCGTTGGTGCTGCTCAAGTACCGCCTCTGCCTGGAATGGGACGATGTGGTGGTGTTCAGACACAACGCGCGGCCACCCTGGCTGCGCTCGGCTGCCACACACAACGGCACCCTTCGGCGGCAGCTGCGGCACCATCTGCAGATAGACACAGCCGTCTATCACCACTTCTACCAACGGCTCAGACAGCAACTGAGGGACTACGGGATGGCGCACATACGAGCCGGCCTGGCCACGCTGCGCGCGCGGGTGCAGCACTGGGCGGCGCAGTGCCGCGGGTGGAAGTGGAACTGGCCGGGCGATCAGTCCCCGCTGCCTCCCCGAGGGACCTCGGACGCACAGAGACACGTCTGGATGTGTTCACGGCTGTTCACGCATGAGATCACGTATACGGAACACATCAGAATGGAACAGGAGTGGGAGGCGCACCGTTCTCACTTCTGGGATAAGCTGCTCGCTAAAAACTGGCCAGTCAGGTAGCGGTGTCCAGTTCCCCCACCCCAGTGTGACCCGTAGTTCGGAAAGGTTGTGTGTACAACGCGGCCCCAGTATTGACGTACAGCTCGGCCAAGCTTGTCAGGAGACAGTGAAGAGGTCAGAGCTCACCACCAAAGATAGACTAACAAGTACGATCATCAGTAGACTGATCCAAGGAGATCAAGGTGTTGGTTATTGCCATAAGTGATGTGCCACTACGACCCGCAATAAAAGCAGCTGACAGTGTTTTTTTTTTTTATCCCGTATGCTATAGATTACTCTAATGCGCAGTTCCGTTGTTATTCATGCAATGAACACGAGACGTGCAGAAAACGTTTTGTTTTATTTTTAACAAAATACAAATCTTGGTTAACAGTTCTATGTATATGCACTGCCTGCCTTTGTACTCCATTCCCTGAAGCATGAACCGCAAACACTCAGACTCCAGCAGTGACCACCAATGCGCCGCCATATATACACAGCCTCCGCGGCCCTCACCAAAGCACTTCTGGACTAACCGAACGCCTTCATGTCAATCAACGAGAACACACCAAGCTCGCAATGTGCCCGCCCGTCTATAACTCGTCAGTCCCTCCCTCGCTCCGCAGGGCAGGCGGAAGCCCCGGTCACTCACCGGCACTGGGAGCCCTCTCACTGTCCTCGCCTCACACACAGTCCGCGTCACCGCTGTCCGATACGGTACCAGTGCCGGCCTCCGCGGGTCGGCGTGCCTCGGAGGACGAGTCGCCAGCGCCCTGCCGACCGGCGGCGGCCCCCTTCAGCAGCTCCGGCGAGGGCTTTACGGTCTCCGAGGAGGGGTCTCCGGCAGAAGGTTCCGCCGGAGCGTCGGCAAGTACTGGAGACTTTTGAGAGTCATCAGCGAGTACTGGGGACTCTTTGGAGTCATCGGCGAGCACTGGAGACTCTTTGGAGGGTTTAGAGACCTTTTCCGTGGTTGTAGCCGACTCGTCTGCAGGTTTTGCCGTCTCGATGGGTTCGGTGGGAAGCCCTGAGGCACTGACAGGCTCGGCAGACGGTTCGGTGCGTTCTTCTGACGAGGACGTGACAGTCTCGCCTGATGGTTGAGCCGGCACCTCTGAAGTCTCGATGGTTTTCCCGGAGCGATCACCGATCTCTTCAGTGACCTTCACTGGTTCGCCGTAGCAATCAGCCACCGCCGCTGTCTCCTCTTGGCCGTCCGGTGACCGGTCCTGAACCTCGAGGGCCACATCATCCAGGGTGTCAGAGACAGACGCCACAGGCTCTTCTTGGACGACCTCGGTGACGGTTTCTTCAGTCTTCTGCGCCGGTCGAGGCTCAGTGACCTCCTCAGCCGTCCCTACCGTCAGCGGCTCGACGTCTTCTTTGTCGGAGACCAGATCAGTCGCGTCTTCATTCGCTGTCACTTTGACGTCCAATGAGGCCTGTTCTACCACTGGTGAGGCTTCGGCTTTGGTGGCCGGCGCCACGGTCTCACTTGTGGCCGACGTCGCATTCTCGGGAGCGGCCTCAGTCACAGCTTTGGAAGTGCCTTCCAGCACAGTGGTAAGCGTGGCTCCAGTCACAGCCTCCGTGGAAGTCTCCGTTACCGTCTCAGGGGTGGCGTCGGCCTCAGTCTCCGAAGCAGCTCCAGTCACAGGTCCAGGAGCGGCTTCAATCACAGTTTCCACTCGGACAGCCAGTTCGGTCACAGGTTTAGGAGCAGCTCCAGTCACAGCCGCCTCAGGAGCGGCTTCTGTGGCAGCCTCAGGAGCGACTTCTTTTGTCATCTCCCTCAGCATTGCCTCAGAAGCTCTGATCACAGCATCAGCTTTGGCGTCCTCCATTGAAGCCTCTGTTGGGGTAGCCTCGATCACAGCCTCGACTGTGGTAGCCTCTGCCACAGCCTCGTTAGCCTCTGTCACAGCCTCAGGTGATGTAGTCTCTGCCCGAGTCTCCGGTTGTGTCGCCTTCGCCGGCGGCTCGGCTGCAGGTGTAGTCTCGACTGGGGTAGTCTCGGCTGGGGTAGTCTCGGCTGGTGTAGCCTGAGCTGGTGCCGTTGGTGTACACTCGGCACGCGTACACTCAGACTCAGTTGGTGCAGCCTCGGATGGTGTAAGCTCGGCCGATCGAGTCTCGTCTGGTGTAGCCTTGGCTGGCACACTCTCGGCTGGTGTGGGCTCGACTGGTGTAGTCTCAGCCGGCACAGACTCTGTTGGTGTAGGTTCGGTTGGTGCAGCCTCGACTGGCGTAGCCTCGGTTGGTGTACACTCGGCTAGTGCAGGCTCGGTTGGTGTACTCTCGACTGGTGTGGCTTCAACTGGTGTGGTCTCGGCCATTGACACAGCAGACTCCACCTCGGCAGATCCCGTCTCACATGGTTCCACCTTCATCTCGCCGTCAGTTTCCACGACCTCGGCTTCCGTTCCGGGAGGCGTATCTTCCTCCTCCGACACTACCAGGATCATATCATCGTCTTCATCCGCTGATACAAACTCCTCACCAGCTTCGACTGTCACCAGCCCCGCCTCAGCCACGGCGGCTGATGAGACCTCGGCTTCAGGGTCTGACAGTGTAATATCAGCATCAGCTTCTACTGACGTAACATCGAGCTCAGCTTCCACTGGGAAGGACTCGACCTCAACTTCACCACCTATAGGCGATACCTCGGCGTCCGCTGGTGTAGCGTAGACCTCAGAGTCCGCTGGCGTAGCCTCTGCCACCACAGCTTCAGATGTAGTGTCTTTTGGCATTACCTTGACCACAGCATCTGCTGGCGTAGCCTCAACTTTAGCGTCTTCCGGCTTAGCCTCTGCCGTAGCGTCTTCTTCGTCTCCCAGGGTAGTCTCGACCTCAGCATCCCCTGGCATAGTCTCTGCCGTAGCGTCAGCTGGCGCATCCCCGACCTCAGCCGCGTCTGCCGGCGTAATCTCTACCGCAGCGTCCTCTGGCACAGCCTCGATCTCAGCGTCTTCTGACATAGCCTCTGCGACAGTGTCGGCCTCCGCTCCGCCAGCCTTGGCCGGAGCAGCACTCTCAGTCTTCGAAGTCTCAACATCGATCTCCCCGGCGTCTTCCACTCCGTCCACGGACTGGCACTTCTCACCAGCCGAGCGTTCGTTCGCCGTCGACTCCGAGTCTTCCCTCGTCTCAGGCTCAGACAGTAGACTGAACGAGATCTGACCGGGCACGATCTTGAACTCATGACTGATGCACCGACCGAGTGGGGTACCGTCAGGAGCCGTGGCGACAATTCCTTCTGCCGGGGCGGGTACCGGGGTCAGCTGCTCCGTCGGAGACGGGGCAGGGGTCAGCTGCTCCGCTGGGGCCGCGGTCTGCTGGTCCACTTGGGAGTCACGGGTGGGTTCCTCTTCCTTCAGCGTCGGTGGGACGATCAGTGAGAACGAAATCTGACCGGGTACGATCTTCTCATCGCGATACTGTCGTCCGCGCGGAGTCGCGGCCGCGTCCGACTCATCTTCCTGACATTCCGCCGTGGCGTCCTCAGGGGCGGTCTCTTCGCTCTTTTGTTCGGCAGCGGACACCTCCGGCGAGGCAGGAGACGTGCCCTCCTCAGCGGCGGGCTGCTCGGTCGTTTGTCCGGCTGAGGACACCTCCTGTGCAACCAGAGTCCCGCTGGTGACGAGGTGCAGCATCAGACGATCTCCATCGGCAGTGAATCGAACGTTGACTAACCCGTCCAACGAGCCCGCCTCCGCCAGCCGATGACTGTCACAGTCCGGCGCCGGGTGGCAGCAATGTACCAGCGGCGGCGGCAGCGCCACGACCTGCAGCGGCTGCCGCAGATCAGACAGAGCCACACCCTCCAGGATGTAACCGGTGTCGACCAGTCGCACGCGGGCCGTGTTCTCCGCACCGACCGTCAGGACAGTGGCGCGATTCCAGCCTCCGTTCGTATCCTGGACCACGCACAGGTCGCTAGCAGTCGGGGCGGCAAGAGGAGGCGGCGGATCGGCGTCACCATACAGCTCGGCGATCAGCTTTCGCAGTTCCCCGAGGGCAGTCCGGTCTTCAGAGAGCATAACAAACACCTCTTCTGTACCCACAAACGTTACGGAGGCCACCATGTCTGTATCGAGCTGTGGCATCAGTGCCGGCGGCAATGTCAGACGCCGGGCCAGACGGCAGAGGCCGTCCGCGGCCAGTGTCTCGGCCACGTCTTGTCCATCGACCGTTAAACGCACCAGCGCCACCGGGCCGTCCGCGTCGGCGGACGCGGCCAGACGCGTCAGCCGAGCGCCCTCCTCCGTCAGCTCACGGAGCCGGCCGACGGCAGAGGCGGCGCATGCCTCTACTGGCAGGCGGCAGCGGAGCGCCTGTGGGGGTAGCTCGCTCAGCTCGGCCGGCAGGCAGCGCAGAGCTGCCGCCTCCACCTCCTCACCGTTACCGTAGTCGACAAATTGAACCCGAGCGCGGTCGTCGGTGGTTGACACCACCCGGGCGCGGTACAGGGCTTCGTCTTCGGAGAAAGGCGCCGCCAGCAGGTCAGTTGACTCAAACGGCGGCTCGGCGGGCGCCAGGGAAGCAGCCGCGGCCGCCAGGCGTTCCATCAGATCATCCAGAGCGGTCGTGTCTGGAGACTGGACGTAGAACTCGAGCGGCGAATTGACGTGCGAAACGAACACCTCGTGGTCCCCGGGATCATCCAGTCGGGATTCCGTCGCCGGCTCCTCCGAATCACCCGTGTTCTCTTGGTTCTGGTCCACCTTCGCGTCACCATCAGTGTCTAATGTCTTGTCTTCACGGGTCTCTTCTGTTTTCTGTGACACCTCCACGGACACGGCTAGTCCCTCTTCCACTAGCACCCCTGCCAGGTCACGGCCCTCATGTGTCAGCGTCACGATTGCAGGGTCTCCCGCGGCGACCAGGGTCATCTGCAGTTCCAGCTCGCTGTCGGCTAGCTCGGCGAAGCGCTCGGCCGCTGCCGTCTCTGCGCCCTCCGTCACCTGCAGGGGCAGCGAGCAGCGCGCTGCCAGGAGCGGCTCCTCAGTCAGCTGCGGCGGCAGACAGCGCAGCTCACCAACCGGCACAGACTCTGTGTTACCGTAGTCAACAAACAGGACTCGGCGCGACTCGGCAGAGTCGGAGTCGGGCAGGAGTCGGGCGCGGTACATGGCGCAGTCTACCGAGTACCGGACGGCGACTAGCTGACCGGCTGCGGGGCTCTCAGCCACCGGTAGCTCGCCGCTCGGCTCCAGCTCACCGGCTGCCTCCAGCGCCTCGGCCAGGGTGTCCAGACGTGCAGAGTTGGACAGCAGCTGCACCCAGAACTCGCAGGGACCGAGTGAGAAGGACACAGCGACTGTCACTGAACGGCCCGGCACCAGGTCAGTCAGAGCAGCCACTTCCGCCGCTGGTTCAGCCCGCGGCACCTCATCTCTCTCTGTCGGGGCATCAGTCACCTTCTCGTTGCTCTTCTCACTCTCCTCAACCGCATGCCCGGCCTCCACCAGCGCCTTGCTCACATCCTCGCCACCGAGTCCAATCAGTTTCACCGTCCAGCAGTCACCAGCACCGCTCACAGTCACCATTTTCGCCTGGCCATCCGGCGCGCCAGTCAGTGTGTCCAGAGCCGCCGCCGCTTCCGCCGTCCAGGGGGCCGCAGCGCCCGCCAGGCGGCACCGCTGGGCGAACGGCGCGGGAGCTAGGAGAGGCGGTGTGAGCAGGCGGCAGGCGGAGCGCGCGCACCGCTCGCTGTTGCCGTAGTCGATGAATTGGAGGTGTAGTTGGGAGGCGTCGGCGGAGTCGGCGGCCAGCACACGCGCGCGGTAGAAGGCGCCGTCCTCGGAGAAGGGCGCCGCCAACAGGTCTCCCGGCTGTACCTGTCAGGACAGACACACACGATGTGTTAGAAGGGCTTTATAGGAGGAATGGCCGAAGACACAATGTGTTGGAGGGGTTTTACAGTGGTCACAGATTCACGCATTTGACAAAATGTGAACGCTGACTACCTATAACGAGTAGAACAGCAAAAACAGTGATTAGTAACTTCCAAGAACAGTGATAAGCAACTTCAGACTGAGTAAGTGCAACACAAGCGAAATGATTCGAACCTTCCCACTGTCCTGATGGGAAGGATGCAACCTCGAGATCTTCGCTACCCGAGGTCCAACAAACTTTAAAAATCGGCAGTGCGAAGCTGCTTACTTTGTAGCAAACCACACACGTCCATCATTGGATCAATAGTGAGATCCAAATTCCGCTTCACCCGGATCATAGACTACTTCGAAATCGACATAGAGTAGTCTATGGTCAAAGTAGTTAGTCTATAATCGAAGTAGTCGAGTAGCCTACACCCGGACCTATCTGGCCGGCCGGCCGATCAGGAGACTCACCTCGTTGACAGCTCGCTCGCCGTCCGCCAGTTTGGTGTACTCTGTCTCCAGTCGGGCCATCAGTTCGTCCAGCTGATCAGCCGCCGCCGCGTCCTGCACGTAAAACTCGCCCGGGGAGACTGTGAAGGACACGGCCACCGGACGAGTCTCCGGCGCCGGCGAGGGCTGCTCCGCCTGCGGCGCTGTCACCTTCTTCTGGGGCTCGGCGGGCGCAGGGGCGGCCACAGCCGGGGTCGGAGCCGGAGCGGCAGGAGCAGGAGCCGGGGCGTCCGAGGCTCCCAGCTCGACGTTCACGTTGGTCTCTCCGTCGAACAGCGTCACATTCAGGTGGTCGGCGCAGACGAGGTCCACGCGAGCCACAAACTCCTGTGAAGGGGGAGCAATTCAGTCAGTACGAGGTTGGTAAAAATGTCCACAAGGTACAACCAGAGCACAAAGTCCACAAGGTACAATTAATACAAGATTTCCCGTCCTTAGGCCTTATATGAAGTTATAACTTAACATCCCGTTAGGTTCCAGAGGAAACGATTACAAGACGGCGCGGCCAGGATCCAGAATCCCTCAATCATCGAGTTAAATTGCATTCTACATCTGACTGGATGACTGATCGCCACGCTGAAAACCAAATCAGCCTAAAGCAGTAACTTCGGGTGTGGCAGTCCTGAACACTAAGATCACATCGCCGTCTTACCATTTGGTCGGCGCGTGCCGTGAGGTCGTCGGCGCGGTCTTTGGGGACCCCGGTCAGTGAGAGCCGGATGGCCTGGGCCGGCAGCCGCCGCAGCGACTCGGGACACTCCCGCAGCTAGCGGGAGATTCAATGGGTCAGACAAGGACACTATAATTGTAGAAAGATACACATTCTTAGTGTGCCAATATTCTTTACGACGTCTTAAATTCTAATTAAGGAAACAAGCAAACAAACAAAAACAAGATAAAGACTCCGGAAACAAGATTTGACCAGCAGCTGCTGTCGGAAAAGAGGCAAAGGAGGCATTGCGCTAGTTCAATAGCAAGCTACCTATCTACCAGGGGTCCCGCCCCTACCTGTGCCGCCGGCACGGTCTCTGTGTTTCCGTAGTCGACAAAGTGGACGGCGGCGTCGTCTCCCGTCCGCTCCACCACCACGCCGCGGTAAAAGGTGCCGTCGAACGGAGCCAGGCAGCCGGCGCCGGCCGCAGCCGAACCGCCCAGCGGCTGTGGGGACAGAGTCAGACATCTTAACGAGCGAGCCATATAAACTACAGCTAACGATCATGACTGTCAGGGCAAAGCACGAAATCACGACACTTCCGGACACTGAGGCAGGGCCCAGAGCAGGTTGAACAATATCAGCATTTTCCCTCTCTAAAAAAAGCCATTGAAAAACATTATAACATTAGAGACGGAAGTGAAAAGGCCATTCATCAATATTGAATTATTATCTTTACTCGAGCCCCCAGTAACGGACACACCTATGCCAAACCACACATTTACATTTTTTTACCGAAGCCTTTGTAAAAAAAAAAACAGGCTAGTGACCCTTTCAGCCCCTTCGCCATCCGCACCTTTCCTCCGTCAGCCACGGCCGTCTCGATCTGTGTCTCGAGCTGCTCGATGTCGGCGGCCCGTTCACTCAGCTGGCAGTACAGTCGGTCAGGAGTGACGATGTACGACACAAACACGGCCAGTTTGTCGCCCGAACGGAACAGGTTCGGCAGGCCGGCGAATGGGCCCAGGTCTGTAAGCAGACGCGAGGACGCTACTGACGGGAGGCAGGCAGTATCAGCACAGCGCGGGAATGCTTAGTGGTGGCCGGCGCTACCCATCGCTGCAGAGATATAGCGGGAAACAGTACGTGAATTTCGGTCTGATAAAATAACATGGACGTCACCCCCCCCCCCCCCCTCTTGTGACAGAGTGGAATGTTTTCTTTATAATGACCTCTACCCGCCAAGGAGGAGACGATGCATTCTTTCTAAAAGAGAGCACTTGAGTGGATGACCGCGCCTTAGCGGCCCTAATGAGTACGTAAAAACACCACTCATTCACAGCTGGTGTGCACCTTGATAATCCCATACGCCACAAATACCGACCCCAATTACTACTCACGCTTCTGAGGCGCGGAAGGTGCAACGGCCGCCGGGCTCGGAGCGACAGAAGCCGGAGTCGGGGTAGGGGTGGCAGGAGTCGGAGCCTGGGTGGGAGCCGGGGCCGGGGCGTCCGAGGCTCCCAGCTCGACGTTCACGTTGGTCTCTCCGTCGAAGAGCGTCACATTCAGGTGGTCGGCGCAGACGAGGTCCACGCGAGCAGAAAACTCCTGTAAAAAAGAACATGTCAGCGGTTTAGACAGGGGGTCGGTGGAGACGTTCATGTGCGGCAAACGTTAAGCCAAAAGAAAAGTATGAGGCACATAAGCCCGAGTGACATGCCGAAACGCGGCTGGTCGATGACCCAGCGAATTCAAAGTTCTTGATCATCATGACCGTCAACTGAAGATATTCCATAAAGGGAGAAGCAACACTCACAAGTCTCGCATCCTGTGACAAGCTTTGACTGTCGTCTTACCATTTGGTCGGCGCGTGCCGTGAGGTCATCGGCGCGGTCCTTGGGGACCCCGATCAGCGAGAGCCGGATGGCCTGGGCCGGCAGCCGCCGCAGCGGCTCGGGACACTCCCGCAGCTGGTGAGGAAAGCGGAAATGGTCAAATATTGCAAAAACTACACATGAGCAGCGAGGACGAATGAAGAACACGAATGGCGTACTGGCGGTCCCCCATCAAACCCTCTTTTTTGTTGGGTTTTGCCCTTTCGGTCTGACGAGACCATATTTTCAGGACTGGAAGGATGATAGGAATTAGGGGGGAGGGGAGCATTGGTCTGGGCGAGCACCCTGGTGCGTCGCCAGGGCTGAGCCCGTCCAGAGGACAGGCTGGCCAGCCCCCCAAGCAGTCACCGCACCCGGCTACAGGAGTGCTCTTCTGGGCATTCCCGTATGGGATAAAGTTGCCCGCCCAGCCCGGAACAGGGGGTTGAGATGTGGAGGAGAAGGATTTGAATGTTTTAAGAATAGAAACGACGAAACGATGCCCTCTCCTCTGCTGCCGACATCCAGTCCAGTACCGGTGGCACAGTTTTCTGTACCGCCACGCCGGTGCCCCGCCTCTTGGTCCTACCTGTGCGGCCGGCACGGTTTCTGTGTTTCCGTAGTCGACAAAGTGGACGGCGGCGTCGTCTCCCGTCCGCTCCACCACCACGCCGCGGTAAAAGGTGCCGTCGAACGGAGCCAGGCAGCCGGCGCCGGCCGCAGCCGAACCGCCCAGCGGCTGTGGGGGACATCTAGTGAGCGCGCCACACATTACAACTGTCGACCGCGACTGGCAGAGCAGGCCGGGCCACAGATGTGACAGGACCGGCGACTACCAAGGGGCCCAGAGTGACAACAAAATCAGTAGAACGTATGCCCAGATATAGCCCTAGGACCATCAAAATACGAAAATGAATACGTTAATCTTCAAGGTTTGATTTAAGCCTTCTGTCGAGCCCTAACAACGACAAAAAAACCTCCTCCAAATCACCCCAAAACGGTCAATTGCAGCAGCCCGCGACTCGCTCAGGGTACCCAACTGACTCATCCCGTCCTGAGGCCTCTTGCACCAAACTACCTAGCTAGGTAAAATCGAAAAACCGGTTTCAGAATAAGCTAATCTAACGGTGGTAAATTTATTTGCAATAGCCCAATACATAATCCTGCATGTGCTTGCTAAATTTTGCACGCAAATTGTTACATTTGAGACTTGGACTGGGTATACGATGCAAAATAATCCAAGCATTGGTGCAAGAGGATTTTGGTGCAAGAGGCCTCTGATCCCGTCCAGTTCCGTACCTTTCCTCCGTCGGCCACGGCCGTCTCGATCTGTGTCTCGAGCTGCTCGATGTCGGCGGCCCGTTCACTCAGCTGGCAGTACAGCCGGTCAGGAGAGACGATGTACGACACAAACACGGCCAGTTTGTCGCCCGAACGGAACGGGTTCGGCAGGCCGGTGAATGGACCCAGGTCTGAAACACAGTATGGTGGAACTGTATTCAGCTTCAGGACTGACTGGCCGGGATGAGGGTCAAAGGCCCCATGCACCAGCAAAGTACGGGGCAGGAACTACGTAGTGGTATCCTGTGCTGCGTAGCTGCCGTTGCACGGAATTAGATACAGAAAAACATAAGAGCAGAAAACAATATGCGAATGTGAACTTGTCATACATCACCGATCTGCATCTAGCGTGCGAGACACCATGATTCATATTCTTCCACTCGCCACTCACTACAGTACTTATGACACTAGTACTCACGTTTCTGGGGCGTAGCGGCAGATGTCGGAGCCGGAGCAGGGGCCGGGGTGGGAGCAGGAGCGGCAGGAGCCGGGACGTCCGAGGCTCCCAGCTCGACGTTCACGTTGGTCTCTCCGTCGAAGAGCGTCACATTCAGGTGGTCGGAGCTGACGAGGTCCACGCGAGCCACAAACTCCTGAAAGGAGAATATGGCACTGGTCGGCAGAACGTCCACGCTACAAAATTCTGGACTGTTTACTGTTTAGAGGTGGGAATATTGCAGTGCTATGTTTGAACTTCATCCAGTCACATATTTGCTGCTGGTTTAGTGTCGTCAGCGTCTTACCATTTGGTCGGCGCGTGCCGTGAGGTCGTCGGTGCGGTCCTTGGGGACCCCGGTCAGCGAGAGCCGGATGGCCTGGGCCGGCAGCCGCCGCAGTGACTCGGGACATTCCCGCAGCTGGTGGGATAGAGAACGGGTTAGACGGCAGCTGGGATACTCCAGCAGCAGCCTGGCGAGAGATTCAACGTGTTAGAGCGGGACAATTGTGTATTGTGTATTGGAATATACCGTCCACAGGTGCACCCCATTTACAGACGGAGTCACAAGCATAAATATACGTCACATTTTCACACACCTACCTATGTCTAACTAGCACATGTATAAATAAGGTTACAGGCTCGATACGAATGCCTTCACCTGACTTCTAAACGCCGCCCGGGATCCGAACAGGTCAGCAGTGGGCCGTTTCTCACATAGACTGTTCACAGCTCGTGGCAAGCGACAGAACAAACCGTTTCTGATTGTGTCAACCCTTGCTGCAGGCACATACAGCACAGCCTTGGAACGAGTTCGCGATGGTACAGCGAGTGAAAACATCGCAAGAATGTCACCGGAGTCGATCCTGCCGGTGAACACGTTCTGCACGAAGTTCAAGTCATTCAGAACAAGCCGCTGGTCAATTCGCAAGACACCAAAATGACGAAGCAGATCAGTATAGTCAAGAGAAGCACATGGACTGTTTGAATGCCTGCCCAACCACATCAGGAACTTGTGTTGGATACGCTCCAATCTCGCAATATGAGTTTTTGCTGCTCCGCCCCATATCACGCAACCGAATTCCATGATTGCACGAATGTGGGCATTGAAACCTGTCAATATAGGTCCTGGCGGTAGCCTACGGCCGGGGGGAGCTCGATAACTCTGAAGCGACCTCAAGTACATGCCCAAGGCGCGGTTTACCTTTCTTACAAGTTCATCAATGTGGGGGCCGAATGTCAACTTTGAGTCAAGCAGAACACCAAGATCACGCATCTGGCTCACACGTTCCAGTGCAGTACCGCCGTATCTACAGGCTTTCCACGAAGTGTGAACGTGATACTTTTGCATTTAGATGGGTTCAAAGCTAACTTCCACGTACCTGACCAAAGACACAATTTATCTACGTCTGCTTGAAGAGCCAAAGAGTCACTAGCAGTTCGAATGCGACGGTACAATTTCAGATCATCTGCATACATCAGGCACCCAGAAGATATGTCGAGAGGGGCGTCGTTGCAAAATAAGACGAACAGGATTGGCCCACATATGCTGCCCTCCGGCACTCCTGACTTCACACGCACCCAGTCAGAACACTTGCCGTTCAACACTACACTCTGCTCTCTCCTACTCAGGTAAGAACGGAACCAATTGAGAGCGGCACCAGACAAATGGTATAACTTCTGTAGCTTATGTAAAAGCAGAGAGTGGTCAACACTATAGTAAAAGCCGACGAATAGTCCGTATAAACTACGTCAGTCTGAGCCCCCTCGGCTATCGAACGCCACAGCTGATCGACAAGACAGGTAAGATTGGTCTCGCATGAACGTCCTGCTAAAAAACCGTGCTGTGCTGAGGATAAAACGGGCGACACGTGTTGAATCACTTGGTCACATATGATGCGCTCACATATTTTGGAACAAATCGGCAAGAGGGAAACCGGGCGATAGTTGCTGGGATTTTTGCGGTCACCCTTCTTGTGAACCGGGGTAACGTACGCGCGTTTCCAGACTCTAGGAAAGGTGCCCTGGCTCAGCGAAAGTCGAATGAGTTTTGTGATCGACACAGTGAACTCTGCTGCACACTCCTTCAAAATTCTACCACTAAGACCGTCTGGTCCACAAGCCTTATGCACATCAAGGGTAAGTAGAATGTTTCCAACTTTGTCACTGCTCACAACAAACCTTGACAGACTATCTACGTCATAACTCGGTGCCACAGGTAAGTCATGAACGACAGCTGGGTCAGAAAATTTTGCAGCAAACGCACGACTCAGACATTCGGCTCTATCACGATCGTCAGACATAATTCTACCATCACATTTCAGAACAGAAACATTTTTTGAAGACTTTACGGATTTTAACAGAGACCAGAACCGTTTCGAGTTGTTCTTGAAGTCATCGACGATGTGCAACATGTATCTGCGGTACTTGGACAGGACTAAACTCTTAAACTGGGTCCTACAGGTTGCAAACCGTTTAATCCGTTCATCGGTAGGTGACTGTTTCTTGTGGCGGTGGGCAATCTCTTTTTGGCGCAACGCTCGCTTAACATCTGCATCGAACCATGGTGGGTAGCGAGCCTTCAGAGTCACCACCGGAATGTGATCTGATATTGCCGCGTCAGTCCACTCATAAAACAGTTCAACAGCGTCATCAACAGCAAGATCATCTAGCATATTCCATGGTAAGAGCCGCAGTGCATGCCTCAGACCGTCAAAGTCTGCTCGCCGATAGTTAAGAGCAGTGCTGCGTGTCACACGAGCGCAGCCCGTCCGAGGCACTGTAAATGTCGCCGTGACCTGATTATGGTCAGAGTCAAAATAACCGACATCAGAGTCACACTGCACCCCGCTGATGTTCGTCAGCACTAAGTCCAGTGTGCTGTTCTCTCTAGTAGGCTGCAGCACATGCTGGCGCAGTCCTGCACCTAGTGGGAAGTTGGCAAAAGTCGGGCATTACAGAAATTCATAAGCATAAATGACAAAACGAATAGGAGAGACGTTAGCCCGGACGACCACCCTGGTGGGCCGTCGGGGCTTAGGCCGTCACATGGACACTGGACAGCTAGCCGACCAGCCCCGCCAACGGTCATCCCACTGCACGATGGGACCGTTTCGGAGAAGCCGCTCGCGTCTGATGAAGGTGACCGTCCAGTCCGGAGCAGGGGGTTGAGGCGTGGAGAAGATACTGACTGATGGAAAATGGACAAAACGGTGGGAGGATCAAAAGTCCAGTCCCCGTTTTTCGCCCCCTCCCAGTACACCATACATATTTACCTGTGCGGCCGGCACGGTCTCTGTGTTCCCGTAGTCGACAAAGTGGACGGCGGCGTCGTCTCCCTTCCTCTCCACCACCACGCCGCGGTAAAAGGTGCCGTCGAACGGAGCCAGGCAGCCGGCGCCGGCCGCAGCCGAACCGCCCAGTGACTGCGGAGAGACATCTAGTGAGCGCGCTACACATTACAACTGTCGACCGCGACTGGCAGAGCAGGGCCACAGTCGTGACAGAAGCGGCGACTACCAGGGGGCCCAAAGTGGCAAAAGATTACAGAATCAGTAGAATTGAGAACATAATTGCCCAAATATAGCCATGGAACAATCCAGAGATGCGGAAATGCATACGTCAATCTTCAATATTTGATTTAAACCTTCCATCGAGCCCCTAACAACGAGCAGCGTCACACTCAGGTGGCTCATCCCTTACCTCTTCCAAATCAACCAAAAATGACTAATTGCAGCTGAGCCCGCGGGCCACTAAGGGTGCCAACTGACCCAACTCGTCCAACAATTTCGTACCTTTCCTCCGTCGGCCACGGCCGTTTCGATCTGTGTCTCGAGCTGCTCGATGTCGGCGGCCCGTTCACTCAGCTGGCAGTACAGTCGGTCAGGAGAGACGATGTACGACACAAACACGGCCAGTTTGTCGCCCGAACGGAACGGGTTCGGCAGGCAGGTGAACGGACCCAGGTCTGCGGGGACAGAGTCCAGAGAGGGGTTACCGCAGGGTCAGTGGAAGAATGGTACAGCCCACCGCTAAAGTAATGTAGGGTTTTACCAATCTCAACGGTTGGCTTTGACTGGCGATTGTTTAATGCGGAGTGATCGAAAAGAAGATGTCAATAGCTAAAGTTGCAGCTGCAAGGGTGACGATACATATAAGCTACATTCAAAGTTTCATTGTAGTCTGGCTAATCGTTCCTAAGCTTCAGAAGCAGAACACACCCATGACTGAAACCACAGTACATTACTTCTGCTGTGGACTGTACATTTGTGCGGTACGGTACGGACACTGCGGTTGAGGCTCAGGGCGACGTTAGCGATTTCTGGACAGAGCACACAAAGGGTGAAGTTACTGGCTGATTGAATCATACTCACGAAACACCAATATGGTTCGGGTGGTAAGCAATGTTGTTGGCATTATTGCCTGCACCAGAGACAATTATTACCAAGATTACATACCGTCACCCTCTTTGAAGACGGACGAACCAATATTGTCAACAACTTCGTCTTATACTATCTACAAATCACATTCTGGCACATTAACCTACCATATTATCTACATCTCGTGTGCATCTTATTTCCCTTCCCTGCCCCAAACGCCACCACTCACGCTGCTGTTTGAGAGTCTGTCCGGGCTGGGGTCTGACGGCCAGGCCGTCTGCCACCAGCATGTCAGTGACCTTCTGACCCGACAGGGTCACCTCCACGGCAGTAACAGAGCCAGAGGCGTCGGATGACGCTGTCACCTGCAAATGTAGGACGTGAAGAGAGAAGGGTCAGATGCGTCCGGTCGACGTAGAGGTGAGTAACATAACCCTTTATCTTGGTTCTATGGAAGAGTCCAGGTCGGATCACGTCAAAGGTGTTGAGTTGCCAATCACGTCGTGATTTTTGCTGTATAAATGAAGAACTCGAATGCATTCTGACGAGCCCAGTAAAGCCACATGCTATAGCGCAGCAGAATCCGGCAAAACCCGCAAAACGTTTATAATACAGAGCAGGACTAGCACTACCATTGGATGGCTGCCAGCACCACTCGTTCCGGTTCCTAGCAACCCCCGTTCCTGATTCCTAACATCCAACCCACGACCGGACCGGCGAGATCGGGCAATAGGCCTGATCCGTCTCACACCCACCCCGCCAGTGTTACTATGTCCTTACCGTCATGTCTCCGTTGAAGTACTTGGCCAGCTGTTTCTCGTCGAGTGTCTTCCACTGTCCGCCGGTCGGCTCCACACCAGCGAAGCGGCAGCTGAGGGTAACAGACGGGGAGGTCAGCCAGGGACTCCTACAGGGTGCTGTGGATCGCACTTCGGCCGATCCATGACTCACAGAGTACGAACGGAGAAAGACAAATGAGATCAGTGAGAACCCATACAAATTACCACCAGTATAACGCCTTTTGGGGCGACTAACGGAGCGAGCGAGAGGGTGGGCCTTGCACGTGCGAAATTTCGAGGGGTACCTCCAACTGAATTGAGCACGGCACCCTACTAACCGGTCTCTAGCAATATGCCAAATTTGAGCACAATCGGCCCAGCCGTTCTCGAGATCTGGAAGCGGCACCCTGCACGTGCGCACGTGCAAAATGGGTCCCAACTGACTTGTGCACGGCACCCTACTAACTGGTCCCTAACCGTGTACCAAATTTGAGCGCAATCGGTCCAGCCGTTCTCGAGATCTGGAAACGACCCCTGCACGTGCGCACGTGCAGCAGCACCCCAACTCTAGCACATGGATATGCAGCGCCTAGTGGGTGCCTACCTACATGCCAACTTTCAGCACAATCGGCCAAGTAGTTACCGAGATATTGCAACAATTACAAAACGGACACCTCTTCGTTTTGCACGTGGCACGTGCATAAGGGGTCACCTACATGCATCGGGAATAGTCCAATACTTGGTAGAAGGAATGAAGCTACCCTACAAAAATTACCGCGTGTAAATCGGTCAAGTGGTTGCTGAGATATAAGCCTCGCAAAAGCGTCCGCACGGCCGGCCGGCCGGCCGGCCGCTCATACTCAGAAATTTCCGTTAATCTAAGGAAAGACTACGCTCGCTTCGCTCGCTCCGTAATCAAAAGTCCAACAAACCAAACATAAGAAAGGGATGCGACTGCAAATCGTAATATTTAACATCTCGCGCCCGCTTTCTTCTGATGCGATTGGAAATCCAAACGGACTGGTGAAGCCAAGCTTCACATTACAATACGCCAACTTTCCATCACGTAAGTCTACATCATATTTTGATCGAGTCCTTCACCTCCTTGTCCCCACCATGCCCCTCCGGTCATCAGAGAACACCGGCGCGTATCCACTGACCTGTAGGCCTGCGCGGGCAGCCGGCAGTGTTCCTCCTTGAGCCGTTTGACCTCCCGGCGGGGCACCACCTCGCAGTTACCGTAGTCCACAAACAGTACCCGCAGCTCGGTGGGCGAGACGGAGCGAACCAGAGCGCGGTACCACGCGCCGTCCGTAAACCTGAGCGACGGGGCCGGGTCGGGTGAGAATCAAGGCAACTCAGGGTAGGGGAGGTCAGGTCAGTGTGCAGGGAGGTAGGGTCGGGCAAAAAGTTGGGACAGGTCAGGGCGAGATACTAGGCGTCGGCTGTTAACTTGAGGCAGGTGACAAAGCATATGGGCCCAAAGTGTGAACCACAACCTAAATATGGATGGCGCAAGTTACGTTAGAGAGTCCCGTGGAAAAGAAAACAGGCACAACCAGTTCAGGAGCATTGAGTGGGGCGTCAAAAAGTTTGTGCATTCGTGCTACGTCCATCAGACACCACGTTCGGTAAAGGATTTGTATTGCTGCCTTCCCTCCCCCGCACGCACCTGGCGGCCACCGGTCGTCCCGTCTGCGGCTGCGTCTCCTGGCCATCCTCCGCCCGCAGTCCACTGTAGAACCTCTGCATCTCCTCCATCAGACTCGTGAACTCCGGCTCAGCCGGGCACCGCTGCACGTAGAACCGTGCCAAGCCCGACACCCACGTGGGTGTCACCGCCAGGGGAGCGCCCGGCGGCACCGGCCGGCGTGTGATGGTGGCACTGTGGGTCGGGATTTCCACTCGGGCCGGAGCCGGCGGGGCCGGTTTGCGAGTGTCACCACCGTTAGCTCGGGAGGAGGGACGACCGCTGGAGCTGTCTCCGTCGCCCCGACCGGCGGAGGAGCGGCTGACGGGCGCGTACTCTGCCGGGTCGTCCATTCGCATCTTCCCGACAAACCGCTCGAGGCGCGGCTCCGAGTCCTCCTCTGGGGCGGCTGGGGCGGCTGGGGCGGCGGCGGGAGCGGCGGCGGAGGTGGTCGAGGGTTTGGGCGGCCGCGGGGAGGGGGCGGGGGCGGAGCTGCCCGAGGAGCGGCGCTCGGCGGCGCGCAGACCACCGTTGGGTCGTGAGTCGGACGACCGCCACCCGGGGCCTGAGCTGGCAGAAGGCGGAGGCACCGCGGTGGACTTGTCCCGCCAGTTGGGGTCCTGGGGACAGACGAGAGAACACAAATTGGTCAGGTGCATGTCGAGAACACAGTGTTAGCAAGTACTCTGCCATCACAACAGTTATGTTGCAGAACAATGTAACAAACCTTGAACTGATGGGAGCATGGAACAAGCAAATATAATCTTCTGACCTGATACATAACAACTAAAAGCGCGTCTTCCATATTCCAAAGAAAGTCATGTCGCAAATTGGCAGAAAGTCGCAGATTGGCATACTATAAAAGTACAAAAGCTGTACAACTCTACTTAGTTGGAGGAAGCAACGAACTTAACACCTTTTCGAGGCTCGAATTCTACAGCAGCACTCCATTCCCCTTCGATTAGTTGAAATAAAAGTGACCGAACAACAATTTGTGCGGGCGTGAGTCCTCGTGATTTTGACCAGCAACTTCGATTCAACGCTTCGCGACAAAAAGGCGCCCAAAGCTAGAGCTAAGCATGCGTTCCAATCTACACTACGGTGGATGTCACTAGAAAATTGCCGAAGAGTGGACCTCAAACCTCCCAATACCTGGATCCCGTCACCAAGTGTTTTACCATTAGAAGCGCCTCTACACTTGCCTTGAGGAGTAGGTCGAGGAGCTTGCATCGCTTCTCAAGATCGACCCCTCCGTGCCCATTGGACGTGACCGTGTGAACGATGGTTTGAAGCACATCCTGTGGTGGAAAGAGCAAAGAGAGCGTCCAACGCCGACCGAGCGAGCAGAGCAAAGGAGACCCCGGCGCCACAAGTAAAGAAAGTGTAGTAGTACCAGTAAAACGCCTTTTGGGCGAAGAACGAGCGAGCGAGATAGTGAGCCCTGCACGTGCGGAAGGGCGAGAGGTTGCTTCCAACAGGCTTGCGCAAAGCACCCTTCTCACCGGTCGCTAGCGGTGTGCCAAATTTGAACGCAATCGGCCCAGCCGTTCCTGAGATCTGGAAGCGGCATTCTGCACGTGCGCACGTGCAAACGGGGTCCGAAATGACTTTTGCACGGCACCCTACTAACTGGTCCCCAACCGTGTACCAAATTTGAGCGCAATCGGCCCAACCGTTCTCGAGATCTGGAAACGCCCCCTGCACGTGCGCACGTGCAGTAGCACCCTAACCGCAACACATGGGAATGCATTGCCTGGTGGGTGCCTACCTGTATGCCAAGTTTCAGCGAAATCGCCCCAGTAATTACCGAGTTAATGGGAACAAATTTGGCACCTCTTATTGTTGTATTTTGCACGTGCACTGGGGGTGACCCACATGCATCGAGAGTATCCTATTTTGGGTAGAAGGGATGCTGCTACCCTACAAAAATTACCGCAAGTCAATCGCCCAAGCGGCTGCTGAGATATGAGCCTCTCAAAATCACTACTTTTGCAAAACAGCTTGAACACCCTTGACTTTTCACGTGGCACGTGCCACGACGGTCACTGAGATGTATCAAAAGTAGTCAATTACGGGGTAGAAGGGATGGGGCTACCCAACAAAAAAGACCGCAGGCCAATCGGTCCAGCGGTTGCTGAGATATAAGCCTCTCAAAAGCGTTACAGGCCGGGCCGGGCCGGGCCGGGCCGCTCATACTGAGATTTTTCCGTTATATTGAAAAGAATCACTTCGCTCGCTGCGCTCGCTCGCTCGTAATCATGCTAAGAACCCCAACGAATTTGCCGTGCAAGTTCTGAATATGCCCGCCTGATTACAATGACCCGATGACGAGGCCCATGGATTTCAAATTCCAGCGAAATGGCGACTAGATCCGGTTACTATCCCCTCTAAGGAACTAGTTTTGAATCAAAAAGGCCAGCAGCTGGAGGCGACATGCCGTGTCTACACCCGCTCCGACAGCTTATCTCCCCAACACATAACTCATGTAACTCAGCATTCACTCCGTAACTCACCTCATCCACTCCATGACTCACATATGTCTCACCTCTGACAGAATGCTTACCTCTCTTCCGCTCACCTTCACTCATTTCTCACTCTATCGCGCATCTGATCACTCCTCCCACTAGCTACATCCTCCCTCCATTCCCACAATCATCCTTTCTCTCTAACCTGATCGGCGCGGGGCGGCGGCGAGGTGCGCTTGGTCGTATTGTTGTTGGTATCGGATGACCGCGGCGACTGCTGTCCCGAGCCCGGGTGGAGCAGAGCAGTCGCTCGCACCGGTTCTGCCTGGGCCAGCGTCACCACGGCAGGCGCGCCGGGACGCGCTTCCTCGGCGCGCGCCAGGAAACTGCGGCCAGCCACCGAGCCGCGGAATTGGGTCGTCTGGTGGAGGAGGGCGGCTATGGTGAGGTGGTGCTGACATACTATGGGAGGGTGTTTGGAGAGAAGAGTAAAAAAGGCCACAATACCTTTGCCTCTGATTTTTCTGTACAAGTTACTCATGTCATCAAAGGATGACAAGAAATGGCACCTGATCCGATAAGAAAGAGAATGTCAACTTGTGTAACGAGGCATGACATACTTTTCTAAAAACACCTATCACCGACAGGATAAAGCTATTGGACATGCCGTTAGGTAGCCCAAACAACCACTTATCAGCGAAGACATTACGCCAGTGTACAGTCCACAGTAGAAGTAATGTGCGGTTTCAGTCATGGGTATGTTCTGCTTCTGAAGCTTAGGAACGATTAGCCAGACTACAATGAAACGTTGAATGTAGCTTACACGTATCGTCACCCTTGCAGCTGCAACTTTGTCTATTGACATCTTCTTTTCGATCACTCCGCATTAAACAAATCGCCAGTCAAAGCCATCCGTTGAGATTGGCAAAACCGCACATTACTTTAGCGGTGGGCTGTACCTCGATAGAACTTAAAGTGCACTCTACATCTGAGGCCCGCGCCCGTGACCCGTACCTCCTCATCAGTCCAGCCTCCATTACCGCTCGGCCGGGCTCCCTTGGCGCAGCAGAGGATGGCCTGGGCCGGCAGCCGGGCGTGCTCTGGGCGGAGCAGTCGGACAGACGACATCGGTACAGAGACAGTCTCCCCGCTGTCCAGCAGGAAGACAGAGACCTGAGGAAGGGAGGAGAATTCAGTGCCAGGGGGATAGACACCATCTCCCTGCTGTCCAGCAGGAACACGGATACCTGAGGGAAGCGGCAGTGTAAGGAGATAGCATAAGGGGAAAAAGACATTTAGACACCGCCTCCCTGAGCTGCTGTTCAGCATTGAAGGAATCTGGAATAGTGACGCCTGTGGGACGTGGGAGAGTAGTTAGAAGCGCGATGCTAGGCAAAATGGCATGGTCACAGACTTTCACTATCAGGAAGCTAGAGCAAGGCTGTGGTCTAGCTAAATGGGAACAAATCATCAACCGACTCGAGCTCATAACATCCCACTAACCCTGACGCCTGTCCCCACTCGACCACAGCTGCACCCAGCCCTGACCTCTATCCTTCCCCACCCCAGCTCTCCGTTTCCATTCCGTCCTCACCTGATCGATTTTCCTGCCGTTGACCCATCCCCGTCGCCAGCCCGCGGCGGTCTGTAAGTCCCGAGGTTATCCTATAACCGTTCTCCCCCCCCCCCCCCCCCCACCTCGAACACACTCTGCTTCAGCACCATTCCCTCGCTGCTAAAACGTCTCACCTGATCGATTTTCCTCCCGTTGACCCGTCCGCGTCGCCAGCCGGCGGCAGTTTCTACAGCCACCGTCTGCTGGGGGGTCACAGGCGCCGGAGCCGCCGTCCCGTACGAGGCCAGTTCAGCCTCCAGCCGAGCCAGCGAGTCAGAGTGCTCCCGCAGGCGCACGTAGAACTCGGACGGAGAGACGGCGTGCACCACGGTCACGTCCTGTGAAGGAGGGAGAGAAGGAAGTGGTGGTATTGACTGGCGCCTGGCGGCCAAACGAAAAAAAAATGGTGCCATAAAAACTGAAGTCAAGAAAAGCCGGTCTTCATCTGTGATCATGGATGTTCATTGGACAAGGCTTGCGGATCACCTATGAAAACAGTTACATGGTGCAAGCGCCCTGACGGCATCGAAGGTTCCAGACTGCCACAATACTCCCAGTCAATCGGATATCTTTTCCACTCGTATCGTATCCACTGCCGTCGGTCAGTGACAGACCTTGAACAGTCCGACGGGCAGCTGCGGCTCGGTCAGTTTGACGGGCTCAGACGGCTGGCCAGTGGTGGCCACTGGAGAGCTGGACGGCGGCCGAGGCGACGGAGACGACACACTGCCGTTAGTGGCTGCCGGCGACTCTGGAATCAGACAGAGATCGTGAGTAACTCTGAATTCGGACGATATACGGTCACTTGAGAATCGCAGCACTGTTTAGGAGATAAGACGCTGACAAATTGATGCAGGGTCTCATCAAAGAGAGGGAAAGGTATGTAAGCTAATTGACCTTTCGGTTCTTCGGCATATCCAAAGCCTTGGCATATTCAATGGCACAAAGGAAATTGAACTTGGTAAGACATTAATAAGAACTTAATATTCTGAGATTCAGAAATCATTCCGTCTCCAAACTGCAAACATTGAGGTCCTCCAACACAATAATAGAACAAGTCACGTCCCTGCTCAGCAGACCTCTACCTCCTCCACCTGTGCCCGGCGGTATCTGACTCACTGGGCGGCGGCACGGAGGCCGCAGCGATGCCGAACGGTTTGAGCTGCGCCAGCAGCGGCTGGTTCTCGGAGCAGGGCGGCAGCGTGACGCGGTAGTGGTCGCCCGAGCCGAACACGGGGAGGACGAGCAGTGTCTGGTCCTGCACCAGCCGGGAGAACGTGTCCTCCGGCACCGACTCGCCGCCGGCCAGACAGCAGAACATCCCTGCGTGGACGAGAGGGGAGGGAGGTCAGACTAGGCAAAGCTTTAATCTCAATACAGACTAGTCAACTCGTCGTGAAAGCCACGGCCGTACCACTACATTCTCATTCATCCCTCTAATGAAGTTACGTGTCAATATGAAAGAAGTCGGTTACCAAGATGTCTGTGGGTCAGCCTGTCGTAGCAGGTTCTCATACCGAGCTGGGGTAGTCTACTGAGCTCCAACTGCAGTTATACAACAAAATTAGTATCGTCTGCGCCATATAGCCGCAGTTTGTTGTCATACCCAGTTGGGGCAGCTTGGTGAACTCTGGTAGCAGCGGGAGCACCTCTGATGGCGCCTTCGACTCCTGATCGCCGTAGTCGATGTACTGAATCGTCACCTTGTCCGACGCGGACAACAGCACCTGAGGGCAAAGCAGAGGTCAGGTGAGGGCCAGACACCTGGGGCATATAGAGGTCAGGTCAGACAAGTGGGGACAGCAGAGGTAAGATCAGGCCAGGTCGGGTCAGACACCTGAGGCAGAGCAGGGGTCAGGTTAGGTCGGACAGCTGGGGGGAGGGCAGTACATGTCCTTCACTCCTCTTGACAAATTACTGTCCTTCGCACTCCCTACAACCTTAATCATTGACTGAGGGATGTATGCCGATACTCTGCCAATGAAGGTTTCTGAGACACAAGCAGCGACCTCTTATCTACTTTCACGCACACACCCTGACAAGTAGTTACTAAACCCTGTGCCTAGCACCCACCTTGGCGCGGTAGAACGTCTCATTGATGGTGGACCGTCCCACACAGAAGGCTCCCACCGGCGCCGGTCTCAGCGGGGTCACTGCGCCTCCGTACCGCTCCTGCATGGCGGCCTCCATGTCGTACATGGCGTCCACGTCGGCGGAGAGCAGCTGGCCGAAAAAGGCGGCCGCCGACTCGACGTAGACCACGGAGATGTGCTCGGGGCGGCCCAGCTCCACCTGAACGGGGCGGACGGAGCGGGGCGGAGGTGCTAGGGTGTCAGTGGAGGGAACGGCACGGCTATTATGTTAGCACAGGAGCTGGTGGATAGGCCGTATTAGTATGCTGAAGGAAATGATGCCAGTCTAGTCAAGCCTATGGCATGAAAGCCAAATTTTTGCTTTCCATCTCACCGTTTTCTCTGTTTACCATTTTGATCTTTATAGAACAGTCGAATTTTACATCACACACAAACCAGCTAGAAATCAAGTTCATCATACACACTAGCCACATTCCTCGTAAATCGCCCCAGAGCCTCGTTGTTATATGTTCTGTGGCCTGTGGGCCCGTCTGATCCGATCCACCACGTCGCTATATAGTTCGCACAGTGCACAGTTCACACCGAATATCCATCTTCTCTCCTACCTCCCCTCCCCACTCACCTCCGGCGGGCGCACGGTGACGGCGGCCGGCGCCGGTTTGGGCGACCCGGCGACCGGCTGGGGCTTGGGTGACCCGGCAGCCGTCGGCAGCTTGCTCGGGCTCTGCTTCACACGTCGAGCTCCGGACATCATCCCTCTGAGCATGGCCCCCACGTCCAGGGGCGGCGAGCGAGTCAGATCGGTGAGTCGTACGATACGCTTCTCTCCCAGTTGGTCGAGGACTTCGCAGAGGAGGCGTCCACCGGCAGTGAGCGCGCGCAGCTGCTCCACGAGCTCCGGCGTGCCGTGGGACATCTCCAGGCCGGAGAGGCAGCAGTGGACAGCCTGGGGAGGGAGGGCTACAGTGAGATATTTTGGAGAGGCAGCACTCATGGTCACCCTGGGGAGAGAGGGTGGGACTTTCTGGCGGCATACAAACATATCGGACAGCCACACGTCGCTTCAACATGAACAGCGTTAAACGTACAAAAGAGTGAAAGTGCTATCACACGTTTCCAGAAATTCACCAACCAAATCATGACACCAACACTGCCAACACATATTAGCATCGAAAAACGCACCCGATCAACAGAGCAGCGGACGTCCAAGCGTTAGTGACGACATCTACATGGTACCACATGGCAAACCCCCAGCGCCACCAGGCGGTCAGCGCCGCAGACACGCTGTGGCTAGCGGCCGCCCAGCTCTGCAGCTAGTATGACCTGAGGAGGGTAGGTGGGTGAGAGACCGCCCAGCCCTGCAGCCAGCTCTGACCTGAGGCGGGTAGTTGGCGACGTCCTGTTCGAGGGCGAACGCGGCGCCGGCAGGGATGATCTCTGAGGTGCCCAGGTCGATGTAGAGCACCTTCATGTCGCGTCGGCCGACGCTCATCACACGGGCGCGCTGGTAGCTGGCGTCCTGGCGATACAAGAGACCAATTGGTGGTGGTTGGTGCCCCAAAACTGTTTTTGTGCCAGACAACATGGTCAGACCGAAAGGGCAAAAACAAACAAACAAACAAACAAAAGACAGTATGGGACAGCCTTTATAGTTCACAAAAAGGCCTTGCATGGTTAAAAAAGGTTCCAGCGAAATACAATATGAATCAAACAATAATTACATAAAAGCACATTTTGCTCCTGTTCCTTCACATGTCACACTCACATGACACTACCACCCAGCTCGTCACTACGGAAGGGGAGGGATTTTCGGACACGTACCTTGAACACGGCGCAGAGGGAACCCTCGGACGCCCGCACCATGGGCAGCGGGCAGGCGCTGACATTGAGCGCATCCGTCAGTCTCTGTAGCGTCTGCAGCAGTACCGGCTCCGTGTCCAGGGGCCGCACGTGCAGGCTGCTGACAGAGGTGACAGACACCACGCGCACCTCGGCGTGAGTTCCGGGGGTGAGCGGCGGCGGCTCGGGCGGCGGGCTGGCCGAGCGGCGGGCCGCCACCGCCGCCGGAGGAGTACGGGGGACGGGGGCAGAGCCCGAGCGCCGCTCGTAGGCGCCCTCGCGGATCAGAATCTCCAGCACGCTCTCACCCACGTCAAACAGCTCCACCTGGTTCTGTGGGAGAGGAGGGAGGTGGGGTGTCAGAGGACTTGTCTCTGGTGTCAGCTGGTCAAGACGTCAACCACTAACGACACCAACCATACAGACAAGAGCAAAATAGCAGTCATAGGGTCTGTTCCAGTTGCACTTCCTATCACCTCTAAACTCCTCTGAGGGCAAGATAGAGGAGGTTGGAGCAGGGCCCTCCTTCGCTTTGTAAGGGCTAGAGCTGCCACTGGAACAGGGAAACAGCCTAGGAGGAGTTTAGAGGTGTTAGGAAGCGCGACTGGAACAGGCCCATATATAACAGCCATAACCAAATGTATTGCAATGACATTATGCCAGTGACCAATGCAGCCTCCCCTTGATAACTCCTACAGACCCACCAAAGTACCACCCCAGCCCTGCGCCCACTCACCAGACAAGCAGCCGATCCTGTGGCAGCGCCGGCCGGCTGATCGCGCGGCTTGTCAAACCGTCCAGTCAGCACACTGCCCTCGGTCTTCTGTCGGAATATGGTCTCAGCTCTGCCCGGCACCGGTTTGAGGGCAGACAGGCCGGCAAGGGTCACCCGGCTCGCTTGGATCCTCAGCTGGGTGAACTGGCGGGGCATGGCGCGCAGTTCGGAGACTACCTTGGTCTCATCGTTTCCGTAGTCGGCCCAGTAGACCTGTTAGAGGGGAGGGGCGGAGAGAGAGAGAGAGAGAGAGAGAGAGAGAGAGAGAGAGAGAGAGAGAGAGAGAGAGAGAGAGAGAGAGACGACTGTCAGGGGTTGCGCGGACCGACCATAGCCGGCGGCATCATCAAGGGTCACACACGGCAGACTGAATACGATACCGGTCGTGTCAGCTGACCGCCGGGAGAGAGTGGGAGGAGGTGCTGGGTAGAGGGGTCATTTGACGCCTCAGTCACTTCGTTGAGCTGGCAGGCTGAGATCAGGGGGGGGGGGGGGGTAGCCGTTGTCGGCGAGACCAGTACCCACTTTCATCTCATTCGAACTTCGCGACGCTTTCACGACTGTAACTGAGCAGTAAAGGGAAGGAATTATGTACTTACGTGGATAACTATACCCAAATACTTATTCACCTACTGTATAACTTATAATAAGTTGTTATTTAACAGATAAATTGCAGCCAAAAGCGTTTTTAGCTTATCCCTTTCAAATTATGCCGACGTGAAGGTCATTTTCAATCATCAACCCAATGCCATAAATAGGTATCAACCTGCTCTTTATGCATCCTATTCAGTCATGCATTGTCTTCCATTGTATTTGATCGAGCGGCCGTTCAGTGCATTTTATCTCCAGTAATAAGTGACACAAGACCAATTGACCGCAGTTAAAAACACGGGCATTCATATGAGAAATGTGTCCCAAACTGACCCCGACCCCTCCCCCGGCCAACTTCCACCACCACAAATGTTCATAATAAGATATCAAACCACTCAGAACGTGGTCTCTCCCCCACAATCCGCCAAAGCGGAAAGTGGAACGGTCTTCAACGTCAGAAGACCCTCAGCAAGGAGGGTCACCTGACCACTTCCCGCTCAAGAGAAACCACCACGACTCTTCATCATGGTTTGAGACACGCGAAAATTCGAGATGAATGATCGCGATAAGACCTATAGAAATGATCCTGTAGAAGTAAGGTCTTAACTTTCGACCGCCCGGCATGACCCTTATGCTGAAGGCTCCAGGAGTTTCATGTTAGTTTTGGGTATTATACGCATCTCTCACACAACTGCAGTGAATAATTACACCATAAAACAGTCTCATTGGTTAGTTGACCTCGATGTCCTACCAAAAACGGACGTGATGTCCGGAATAAATTTCTTGAAAGTCCAGAAAAAGCAACAAGTTGGTCCAATTTTTGCCCTAGCGCTACAGAGTCATCTGTTATCAACGGTTAGGACTAAAGCTTCGCTTGCCCGTCACTGGCCCACCCCAAAACTGATATCAGTGCCCAGTGCCTCGGCTACACTACATCACTTTTAAGGCTAAGCCTAACGTTACGTGCAAAACTATAAGTAAAAATCAGATGCGTGTAATAATTCCCCCCTAAAATAGCTCTTTGGCATCTATTCCCCCTACCCGTGTCCGCCCGCTGTGAATCAGCTGACGCCGGCCGCCCGCCGCCCCGGCACCCCTGCCTGGCTCCGCCTCTGCCGCCGCCGCCAGCGGATAACAGCTGACGGCGGTGACGTCACGGCCGGAGCCCCGCCCCACTGCCGACTGCGCACGTGGTCTCCACGCGGACCGAGATCCGCCGCATTGAGTATTGGCGAATTCTGATGGTGTTTCGGACCAGGGTTTCGGAGTCGGAGTCGGAGTCGGAGTCGGAGTCGCCCGGAGTCGTGGCAAGCAGCCAGGAGTCGGATTCGGAGTCGGAGTCGGTCAAGCTGCCTCGACTCCGACTCCGGGAAGTTAACTAAAATCCGTGGTATCACTTTTCAGTTGTTATTAACCAGTGGCCCCCGCGGTAGAGTTCGCTTCTGGTGATCAAAAATAACTTTTGCACACATCTTGTTTTTGTTGAGTCCCGGTCCTGGATTTCCACGCCCTGCTGGGGATGGGGTCACCGAAAGTAAAATTTCGCCACTTCCCAGGTCAAACTTCGATAAGTCTCGACAAACCAGTGCTTAACTCAGGAACAGATAGAGCTACAGCACAGTGGAAAAGCGCATTCGATAGCTCTTCGGTCTTGGTCTTTCAGAATAGATCTCGCATATTTGACTTGAGATCAACGGTTTAGCCTGCAGGGGGCAAAAACTGTCAAAATAGACGTTCTTTGCTGAAACGGTTTTCCTCCAATAGCTTTTGACTCAAAACTTGTACGATATTATTTTTATTAGCATCGTGTTCCTCTCGTCAAGACGCATCGAATGAACTGTAATTCGACCTCGAAACGTCAACTTTAAAATTGGACCTCAGGTCAAGGTAATGGCCTGACAGGAAAAGGTCATGTTGCATATCAGTCGATCCGTATCGTCGAGCCGAACACATCTAAAGCGTTTTCATCGCTCTACCGTACCTCCATCAAAAGGTATTAGCGAAAAACTGTTAGATGTCATTCATGACCCGAGATGACCTCAGGGACATAACGAGGGGTCACAGGTGCCATTTTCCGGTTCATTGTGCATCATGTTTACTTATGTATAATTCGTGATGTTTGAAAGTGTTTAGAATGACGTTGGTCCAAAAGAGGTGCATTTCAATTTTTCCTATTGACTTTAATGGAGAGGTCGGAAAATTGATCTGACCTTAGGTCACCGATATCAAATTTCCGAGAAAAACATTTTGTACATAGGTACTGTTACCCTTATCAATTGCTGAAAGTTTCAAAGTGATCGGCCACTCGGTGTAGCTATGGCAAGCATTTAATTTTTATGAGGTGAGGCCACTTGACGCGACCTAGTGACCTGACGTTGAGTGACCTTGGTCTGAAATTTACACAGCATATGCAGAAAAAGATGCATGATGGTAAGGTGTGCCGAAAACGGCGGCCGCCGGAAGGGGGTGTTCAAACACCCCCAGCAGGGTGCGGGTTAATTAAGTGTCGTTTTCAATGCTTCGTATCAGACCCGGAGTCGGAGTCGGAGTCGGTCAGGAGCTCGGAGTCGGAGTCGGAGTCGGAACAGCGCTACCACGACTCCGAAACCCTGTTTCGGACAGTGTGGGCTTGAATGAGGTATGCGTGTTTGTGTACGCGTGAGGGGGGAGGGAGCTGGCTCGCGGGTGACAGCCGTAAAGCCCCCTTCCCCGACACAATGGTTGCATACGATGCCGGACACTACAGAGATCCCAGTGTCGCCGGTCATCGGAGGGGGTAGGAGGGAGGGGGGGGGTGTAGGGTGATGCCCAGTGGCGTAGCCAGAAATCAGCGAAAGGGGGGGCCATGGTGCTCGAGGGGGCGACTTTTTCCCTTGAGAGGGGCGCCATGCCATTGTCAGCTAGTGACAGGGGCGTCAGTCTAAAATGTAACGTCCTGTTCATGCATGATTTACTAGGTGTTGCAAAATACGAAGTATATGAACCAGGTTTCGCTGATTTTTCATAAAATCCAATTAATGCAATTTGCAGCCCGGTCTTTTTTATAAAAAACCTTGATCTTGATGAACATTTAGCACGATATAGGAAACGATCTCAGGCTACAGATATTTTATTCTCAAAATACGCATCCATGCGAATTCGAAGCGGTAAAATATACGTTGGTCGATAGGCACAATCTTTATTCTTTGCAAAAAAAGATATACAGGTTCATTCACTGATTCAAAGTGATCTGTGGGCTGCAGCCTGTGGTCGACCGTGGTGGCTGTGCTTAGAATCTCAAACCGCACGTATGTAGGATTCACGCTGCGACTAATTGCCTAAATTGGAATCAAGAAAAGAGTTGAACATTTAAGACCATGAGATCCACCATGAGATCCCAACTCATTGTCATTCCAGCAGCGACTGCAGGCAGAGGCGACCGAACGCTGACATACGTTCTAGATTTTTTTTCTCCACAAATCACCTTTACAATTCGATGTCTAGTGCGCGCAACCTCTACTTGTGGACATGCATGACTGCATGAGTGCCAGATAGGTGAGGCGTGAGACTGTCCCATATAGTGGCACGAAGGTAAAGGATGTCTTCGGCCGACGTAGTATAGAAGACGACCTTTGATGATGTGAGTGTGCATGATCGACTTTGAATAAGGGCCATAGGAACCTGCCGATCTCAGCGAGCATTCACCTTGCGTAATCCCCAGACTAAATATCTACATTGAGGCCCAGGTCAATTTTGCGACCTCTCCATTACCTATTAGTGAGCCCGTGCCGTGCGGGTGGCCTGTGTTTTCCGTGTCGTGCTGGGGGAGGGGGACGTTTTCACTCCCCCTCTAACTCGGTTCCTGGGCAACGTAGCGACACGTAGTAAGCGGCAATCGAAAGAGCGTCAAAAATAATGACGGAAACACTTCGTTCAATGTTTAGGTCAGGTCAAAATCAGGTCACCAGAGGTCATCAAATGTCAAATTTAGTCCATTTCAACAATTTTGGAAACTGCCAACGACTAACTCTGGAACCAATAGAGCTCCAGCGCCGCAGAAAATCGAATTGGATAGCCCTTTTACAGACCTTTTTGTTATTGCTCTCAGATTTGACCTCAAGTCATTTGTTTAGCCTCCAGAGGGCAAAAACTAAAAAATAGCAGTGTTCATGAAAAGCGTTTTTCTGCAATAACGTTTGACTCAAGACAGTGACGACATTTATTTTGCCAGAATCGTGTTCCTTTCGTCGAGACGCGTGGAATGAACAGTGCGTTGACCTTGAAGGGTCCTTTTGACAATTTGACCTCAGGTCAAGGTCATGACCTGACCGGAAAGGGTCATGCTGCATATCAGTCGATCCGTATCGTCGAGCTGAGCACATCTGACGTATTTTCACGGCTCTAGCACGTCTATATCAAAAGGTATAGCTAAAAAACTGCTGGTGACCGTTCATGACCTGAAATGACCTCAGGGGCACACAGAAGCGTCACAGGTGCATTTTTCCGATTCAGTGTGTTATGTTTACCTATGAACCGATGTTTGAGAGGGTTCTGAACGACATTCGTCCAAAAGAGGCGCATTTCAATTTTCTCCCATTGACTTATAATGGAGAGGTCGCAAAATTGACCTGACCCTAGGTCACCGATATCAAAAGTCCGAGATAAACATTTTATACATATTGTTAGTCTTATCAATCCCTGAAAGTTTCAAAAGTGATCAATCAATTGGTGTAGCTATAGCGAGGAGCCTTTAGACTTTTTCTGAGGTTAGGTCACTTGACGTGACCTGGTGACCTGACCGTGAACGACGGGTCTGAAAATTTCACAAGAAGTGTGGAAAAGTTGTATGAACAGGTGTGCAAAAAACGGTGGCGCTGTGCGACGCCGTTTTTGAGATATTTGCGAAAAACCTAGGGGGGACCAGCACGGCGTGGGTTAATGGGAGAAAATTGAAATGCTCTTCTTCGGAACGAAAACACCCTCATCCATCGGGATACAGGTAGATATGACACATTTAATCGGAAAATTTCACTCGTGATGTGACCACTTTTATGTTACAGAGGTCATCTCAGGTCATGATAGGTCTCCAGTAGTTTTTGGACAATAACTTTTGATAGAGACATGGTAGAGCAATGAAACACCTTATATAATTATTTTCCGTCTCGACAATACGGATCGACTGATATGCAATATGACCTTGCCCGGTTAGGTGATGACCTTTACCTTAGGTCACATTCTCAAAATGCCTTTTTAATGTAAAATTATAGTCCATTTGACTCGTCTCGAAAAATGGAACACGTTGTCGGTTAAACTAATCTCGTGCAGGTCTGAGCCAAAAAGGTATTACAGATAAGCGTCCTCCGCGAAAACGTAGGTATATTTTGAGGCTAAAACGTGTAGCTTAGGTCAAATCTGAGATAGTTAATAAGAAAGAGCATAAAAAGAGCTATCGAATGCGCTTTGCTGCGGCGCTGTAGCTGAGCTCAATCTCTTTCTGAATCCTGACATATGCGCCGCTTTGTCGAAAAATGTCAAAATCGGTGAAATTTGATTTTTGGTTGTCTCTGGTGACCTGACCTTCGACCAGTTCGACCTAACCTTGAAAATGATAGTAGTATCGTATTAGTTTTTGACGATCTTTCGAACGCTGCCTACTGATTGTCTCGACGTGGCCCACAAGCTGAGTTAGAAGTGGGTGTTGAAACCCCCAGAAGGTTCAATAAAAAAACGCATACGCGGGGGCGGCATCGTAATAATGGGCGGCACTGCGCTGAGGGGCACCACTTGCATTGAGGGGTGGCATTGTACAGTGAAGGGGCGGCGTCGCATTGAGGGGCGGTATCGCAACGAGGGATGGCACTAACGAGGCTGCGTTATTAGAAACGCTTGGCACATCCTAGCCCAGCTCGGCGCCGCCTGGCTGCTGCATCTTGAAAAGGGCCCTTAGTGTCAATGAAAAGGCCCCATTGCCAACTAATTACCTAGCGTCAGTGATTTCAGGGGGGGGGGGGGCTAATGATCTTGAATGGGGCGGGGCGACTGAAGGCTCAATTCAGATGGGCGTCAGTGACTACTGGAGGGCGCCAACAACCTCGGATAGGGCGAATGTGATCTTCAGAAGGGCAACGGGTGCTCTAGAGGGGTGCAATGCTTGGATGGGGTCACTGCTGCCTTCAGTAGGCCGTCGGACGCTCTGGAGGGGAGCCATTGATCTAGGATGGGCCGACTGAAGTTCAGGTGGGCGCCATGGCTCTTGAGGGGCGCCAGTGACCCAAGAGTAATGGGGCAACTGCCGACTGTGATCTTTAGAAGGGCGTTGAGGGGGCGCCATTGGGCATTGATGGGGCCACTGTTGCCTTCAGCAGGGCGCCGGACGCTCTGGAGGGGCGCCTTGAGCTTGGATGGGGTGACTGTAGTCTCAAGGGGCGTTGTCTCGGATGGGGCGAATGTGATTTTCAGTGGAGCGCCGGGTATTCTAGAAGGGCGCCATTGGTTTCAGAGGGTTGCCATCGATCTTTGGGGCGGCTGTAATCTCCGTTCAGATGGGCGCCATTGACTTTTGAGGGGCGCCAGCGACCTCGGATGAGGACGACCGTGATCTTCAGAAGCGCGCCGGACGCTCTGGAGGGGCGTCATTGGGCTTGAATGGGGTGACTTTAGTCTCAAGCGGGACGACTTCAGTCTCAAGGGAAACTGGTGCTGGGCTCTTGAGGGGGCTATTGATCTCGGATAGGGTGACTGTGATCTTGAGAAGAATGCGGGTGCTTTAGAGGGGCGCCAGTGGTTTCAGGGGGCGCCGTCGATATTGGATGGGGCCGATTGGGGCAGCTGTGAGCTTCAGAGGGGCGCCGGGTGCTTTAGAGGGGCGCCATAAGCCTTAAATGGGGCGACTGTTCCGTTCAGGTGTGTGCCAGCGGCTCTTCAGGGGCGCCATCGATCCCGGGGGTTCGGAATATTCTGGTTTCCGGAGGGGCGCCCATGAACATTCGGAGGCTCAGGTCCTATTTGGGGGTGCCCTGGAGAACATTGGGGTGTCCAGGCACCCCCAAAGAGATTTTGAGTTCGATCCCTGCCTGCATATCACTTTTAATTCATGTTCACTCTGTAATACGGCATCAGCCTAGTCGGCGCTAATTGGGGCGCCATCTGGGCGGCTGAGCGGAAAGGGGGGGCCATGGCCCCCATGGCCCCCCCCCCTGTCTACGCCACTGGTGATGCCTATCAAATCACCGGAACAGAGCAAGATGCCGAGCGTTGACTGTTGCGGGGCCGTCCGCTGACAGTTGCAGAAAATCCAGAGACCCTGGCAGACATGATATAAAAGATCGTCATCTCGCAATTATTCTTCTCTCAGTCATGGTGAATCCAACAAATAGTGTGGGCTCACGGTTGTGTGATAAACCAGTGGAAGTGGAACAGTCAAAGAACGAGCAACCACCGCCCGCGGCGCAATTCAAGTTTCAGTGATGGAAAGAAAAGCTCGTGCCATCTTGACGGTACCCTGCCCCTCCGACGATCTCCGCGCTTATAAATTTCATGTCAATGATCGAACTATCATGCATAGGTACTCGTACATAGCAGGCTGGTGAGGCTGTTGTTCAACTTTCAACGTCGACTGAGCCGGTCATCCTTCATCAGATGACTATTGTCGCTATTCGAACGGCTTGACCAAACGCAGATGACCAAACAATGAATGGAACCGGAGACCGACAAGCACACAGTGCTATCGGAGGAGTTACACCGGGCGACCACATCAGCGGCCTTTATCTGCTAGGCACGATGCTAAAAATCAGGGCTGCGGAGTCGGAGTCGGAGTTGGAGTCTAACGGAGTCGATAGTTCTGCCCGCCAAAATCTAACCGACTCCGACTCCGAAGTCGGAGTTAACGCTGCATGGCTCAACGTCATGTTTGATTGACGATACTGTGCTCGAAACTAGATTTGGCCGAAAAAAGGCAATTTTGCTGTTTTGGACGAACGTTTTCAGCGAAAGAAGCAGAAGGTGAATTCCCCAGAACCTGCTTCTTAATTCTGCATGTTATTTTTGATGCATATTTGCAACGCAATGCCTTGGAACGCACAAGGCATCGTTTCAATCAAGATAAAAACAACTCCATTATGAACTTCAATATCATGATATTGATTTTAATAGAACCGTCCGGAGTCGGAGTCGGAGTCACCCTAAAACCAATCGACTCCGCAGTCCTGCTAACATATCTGCTGATGGGAGTGCTAACTGCTAGGACTAACACTAACAGCGTGAGCTGGCCTTGTCAAACGATGAAGTGTAAGTCCGAAATAGCACGACCCCAACCAAACTGCCCTGTCAAGTGTGGTTAAGACTCAAAAGAAGCTGTCAATTGAAAAGAACGCACAGTGACATCGTGGAATTGTTGCTACCCCGCCCTCTCCTCCCGTTGGTGAGGTCACCGAACTACGGCCCCCGGGGCGGTGTCGGGTTCTCCCCGCCGGCCGCCCCGCAAGGAAGAGGGGGGCAGAGAGGGAGAAGGGGCGGGGAGGGTGTCCTGATAGCATCGGTCGCCTGCGGGTGTGTCGTGCGGTCAGCAGCCGCTAGATATCCCCCTCCCACGGCAACACAGGGAAAGGAAAGGGAATGAAACGACATCCGCCTAAAGCCATCAGCTGCCGCCGCGGTCAGCGCTAGCCTTCCTCCCCCGCCCCCGCCCCCCCCCCCCCTTGAGCCCGAACTCTGAACGGAACCACAGATGGTCTGCAAGGAAGCCCTGCAGCCTGCAGCCGCGGCGTCACCACTTCCCGGTGTCTCTACTAGCTATCAGTGACTACTCACAGCACCAAGCGCCTCGGGGCAGCCGCGGGGAGGCCCCGCCGAGTCCCCAATCCGTCCGGGGGACCGGGCCGAACGATTCAGCTGTTTGTTTGAGTAGGCCGACGGGCGCCTGTCGCCCCACGCCTCTCTCCCAGAGCCAACAAAGAGCCCCAGTGACGTTTGTGCCAGATAACACTGTGTGTCAAGAGGACAGTGTGTGGGGGGAGGAGCGAGGACTAACCTTGACCACGTTGCCGTCGGCCTGGGTGATGACTCCTCTCAGATAGCGTCCCTCTCGTGATGCTGACGAGCCCAGACACACGACGCCCGACTCGACGGCAGACAGCGGAACGGGCGGGCTGCTCTGGCAGTACGACTGGGGGAGAGAGGTCAGCAGGGTCAGAGGGGCAGGGTCACAGGTCAGCAGGGTCATAGGTCAGCAGGTTCACAGGTCAATGACAGCGGCACCGGCGGGCTGCTCTGGCAGTACGACTGGAGGAGAGAGGGAACAGGTCAGAGGGGCAGGGTCAATGATAGCGGCGTGGGCGGGCTGCTCTTGCAGTGCGACTGGGAGAGAGGTCACAGGTCAGCAGGGTAAGAGTCAGATATCATTAGGGTCAGAGGTCATAGGTCAGCAGGGTCAGAGGTCACAGGTCAGCAAGTTCAGAGGTCACAGGTCAGCAAGTTCAGAGGTCACAGGTCAGCAAGTTCAGAGGTCACAGGTCAGCAAGTTCAGAGGTCACAGGTCAGCAAGTTCAGAGGTCACTGACAGCGGCACCGGTGGGCTGCTCTGGCAGTACGACTGGAAACCGGAGGTCATAGGTCAGCATGGGCAGGGAATTATCAATTTCGATCTTGGTCCTGGATAATAAAATTTGAACCAGGGAACCGGTCAGCTTTTAAACAACCAGCCACATCAGTGTATGTTTGGCCACTAATACGTGACTACTGATAAAATGCGAGACTTAAAATGTTACATGCATATTTTACAGCTATTTTCTCAGTTTTTTTTTTCACGTAGGTGAAAATATCAGAATATTGAAGGTGCGGGAGTATACATTTGTAAGGGGGAACGCAATCTTTTAGGCCCACCTGGGGCCCGATAAGTGTCGTATTCTCAACACTAGCACTCAGTGGCAGGGTCACGGATCACGGCCACAGGTCAGAGGGTCAGAGCCTCAAGAGGTCACAGGTCACTGACAGCGACACCGGCGGGCTGCTAACATCCAAGCTTTGGACGAAGGTCAGGTATGGCGAGCGGAGTCGCAGGTCAAAAAAATGTCGGAAGAGCTGAGACGAGCGCACATATTTCACACTTGGCAGTTGGCATGTACCGAAAAGTGAATATATACCACAGTAAAAACCTCAAAACATTCCTTCCTTGCGGAGTTCCACGTTCGGAGCGGCAGATCGGGACACGAGCATACGAGCCCGGCACGCCGACACGCCCTTACCATCAGGGCCATACCACGTCGCGCGTCAAGGCCAAACACGCGGCCACGTGCGCCACGGTCGGTCACCCCCCCCCCCCCACCCCGTCAGTCAGCTGACCAATGACCATTAACAGGCGGGGCAATAACGGGAGAAACGGGCCCCATTCGGCGGTCCGTCCGCTCTCGTAAACGGCAGATTGACGTGTCCAAAACATGCCGCCCGTCCCCGCCTGGCCGGCCATAATTTGGCCCGACCCGCGGACCCTCGTCAGGCCCATAGACTTCAAACGCCGCGGAACGAGAGGAGGCGGGGCGGGGAAGAGGGTGCTCCCAGCCACCGCCTGGGCGTCGGACACAGCCCCCGTCAGCGAACTCGGATAGAGCGTGTCCGAGTTTTGCTTTGAAATATTCATCTCCTCAATGAATGCCGAGACTACATTGTCAGAGCAAACCTTAATCAATATCCTCACATCAATTGAAAATTAAATAAAAAAGATAGAAATCCGAGATCCAATGCGCACATCATATATAAATTCTAGGAGAGTTCAGAGATTTCCAGTCCCCCGACATCACTTCAACACCAGTATGATCCCAAGCCAAGACGACCAATATTCAAGAGGCTCTACGCCCTCTGCCCCCCCCCCCCCCCCACCTCTAAACCCTTACTTCCTCCCCCTCCTCCCAGCACTTCCTTCCTCCCTCTCCCTCCTCCACTGACCTGTATTTCCGTCATGAGCTGCAGCAGCGCCGGCTGGTGCTCATACAGCTGGACGGCGAACTTGGCCGGCCCGTTGATGTAGTGGCAGATGGTCACCAGAGCCTCCGAGCCGGACAGCGGCGGCACCGACAGCAGCTCACTGACGCGGGTGGCGAACGCCAGAGGCGGCTCCGGGCCGCGAGACGCCGGCGCCAGCGGGCTGCACGCGGCCTGCACGGGGTACTGGGGAGAGGAGGTAGGGGGTTAGCGAGAGAAGGGGAGAGGGGGTGGTGATTGGTGAGATGAAAAACGGCCGATGGTGGCTGCCGGCCCCGGGGTTGGCTGGCACTAGCGCCACTACCACAGCCGCTTTCTCACGGTTAGTGAATAAGGGGAGAACGGACATGAACCAGCGCTACACGAAAGAAGACAGCCCGTTTACAAAACGGTGTGTTGCCAGAACACTCATGGACCATTATCATTCTCAAAAAGATGTAAACGTCCCGTGGGGGCGTCGTCGCCCGTATGTGGGCCGGACGTGTCTCTTTCTGCCCCGGGAGCGTGACCAGCTGATGTGGAAGCGTCTCCTTACCTGCCCAGAAGGCGTGGTCAGCCGTCCCATGCCGAGCGCCGCCAGCTGCGAGGCCAGGGTCCGGCCATCTCCGGTATAGATACGGACGTGCCACACCCCGTCGGTGTCCTGACGCAGCACCTGAGCCTGAACGGGCTGACGCGAGCGCAGCGCCGACTGTGGGCACACACCGGGCAGATGGCGGGTCATCAAGCGACATTCGTCAGTCTTGGGTCAACATCGTCTCATACTGAATTATTTGAGATCTAGTTACGAGTGCATTATGGGAACAAGGCATTGAACATAACAAGCTTGTAAACGTTGAATGCTACGCGCCCATCCGCCTCAGAGTACTGATATCCTGACACATGACTGTCAAAAAATCCTTTAGAGCCCCTGACCTTAAGCATACACACCCCACCACGGGGACCTACCTCCGCATGACTGAAGGCAGCCTCTGTCCAGGTGCCGGTGGCAGGAAGCACCTCGGCCAGCACGCAGGGTACCGCCAGTGGCGGCTGGGTCAGGACTGCCGCGGGCAGCGCGGTGCGACTAGCGCAGATCTGCCGGCCGGGGAACGAGCGTCATATGATTGGATCGACACAGTGCACTTATGTCTCATTGTATTTGAATATTGTCTGTGAAGTGTGATAGTGTCAATATAGAGAAACTGGACGGTGTCGGGGGTTGTGTCAGTGACACGAAAAAATTATATATTGTATTCGGTGCCGGGATAGGGACGGCTAAAGACAGCGGCATTCTTCCTGGGGAAGTAGGTCTTGCTTTGATTTGTTAATCTTCCCTTTACGCAGACAAGGTTCAAAAGGTCCCAAGGTTCCAACAGTTAAAAACAACATTTGGATAACTTTTTTAACAAATTGTTTGAAAAAATCAGTCCATTTAACAAAATGACCATAGCAAATCTGCTCCTCTCATCAAGCCATAAATCACCCGTCACAACAGTCGGCGTCTTTCAGGCAGCCGGGGTTTCCGTCAAAACACACATCTGGGCCCCACCCATCTGCGACCTAGAAGCGAGCCCGCCCGCCCCATCGAGCGACGAAATCCAAAAGGCGACCGCTTTCGCCCCAGCTGTTAGGCTTCTGGGCAGCACCGGGGCGCCAGGGTCGTCCAGAAAGTCGCTTCATTTCTAGCATGGGGACTGACTTGGTGATCTGACCCTGGGTCTGTTGTCAACGACCCGCCGTCTCCAATCAGCATTTAGCCGGGACGTTTGGCCGGCTTCGTGAAGCGCCTCCACTTCCACTTGACTTGGTGTAATCGATGAACGGCTAAAACACCGTCTGCTCTCACCCTTTGCTACAAGGCAAAAATAATGTGTATGGTGAAGGAATCTCAACTTAAACTGAAAGGCCGTGAGTGAACTCAATAAAACAAATATCAGCAGAATCACCAAACAACGGCGCAGCCCCATCCCCATCCCCCCACCCTCTTACCTGGTAACCCTAGTCCAGACACCAGCCCTGACCCCTCCCTGCCCCCTGAGTCTCTTACCTGGGTGTAGTGTGCCAGCTCGCTGGTGCCATAGTCGATGTACTCGACACTGACAGTGGGGCCCTGGATACCGACCACGCGCGCCCGGTGCCACTTGGCCGCACCGCTCGACGTAGACTTGACCAGCACCGTCTGTCCCGGCGGCAGCTGATACGGCGACGGCAGTCGCGCCTGTCGGTCAGAGGAGAGTTGGTGAGGGCGGCTCGCCTATGTCGTTCATTCAAGACAATGTGCTGTGTAATATATTGGAAAAAAACCAAACGCATCGGACATTTAGGTAGTAGTGTCATGACCAAGCTGGCTTTGATTCGAGCTATTCAAACACCAACGTGCATTGCTAAATGTTTTGTGTTATTTTTCGTACCTTGGAATAAACCACGGCAGTTACTGGCGTGTAGAAACTCATCTATAAAAGTAAGGTCCAATCGCGGGTAATAAAGCAGCTAAGTAGCTAGGTTCCCCCTCACCTGTTCAAAGAAGGCCTGGTTCTGTGTGATGAGGCGGTCCAGTACCGCGAACTGCTCCGGGTTCGGCTGGGCGTGGAAGCTGATGTGAGTGCCGGCGTTTGTGACCGAGGTCACGTACAGGCTACAGTCGCACATTGCCGGCGGCTGGAGCGGCGCCGGAGGCTTCAGCCTGGGGAGCACACGGAGCGGTCGAACGGGTTAGCTGCAGAGTACACACGGGCCACAGACGGCGGCTCAGCGGGCCATATCGGTCGAACAGGTGGTAGATAAGGGCCGAGCAGATGGTAGTTAGATAGGACTGAGCAATGAAGATAGGGATACTTTTTCAATACAGCACGAATCACGATCCACAACACCAAAATTCACGCCACAAGTTGTAAAAAAGATTATAGTCCGAACTTCGCTAAAGGTTGGGAGTTAAAACGCTGAGAAGAAAAATAAAGATATTCTAACCGTGAAGAACAATGACCTTACCCTCTTAGGCAATGATAGCCTGATGTTTGCCTTGATAATCAATTAGATCGCTTGGTGTTTTGATGACACTATCGCTGCGACGGAAAGTACCGACCTCCACGAACCACAGGTACTCAAAAGAGAGCACCTTCCCCTATGATCCGCCGCCACCGGTCCGATATCCACAAAACTGACCACTACAAGCACTCTGACACCCGACCTCCGTAAGTCACCACCACAGAGTGATGAGGAGCACAAACGCAGCCTCGTCTCCACAGAATGACGACACGACCGCCTCCGGACCGCCCGCCAGCGCAGGACCGTCTGCCGCCCGGGCCGGCGCGGTCCCACTCCCTCTGGGGCACCGCGCGTTCCTCCCCCTCCCCCTGAGCAGGGCAGCAGGGTCAGCCAATCAGGAGGCGGCGCGCAGCACATACACCCGGGCACACAGACAGACAAGCGATCACACGGGGTGTCACCTATCAATCCAGAGCGAGACAGGCATCCCCACGGTGTGTGCACTGTATGTGGAGTCAACCGCTCAAAAACTCGGAGGCATGGTGATGTGGTGCCTTATATCCGCACTGTGAAATATTGTGTGCTGGCGCGTAAGCGTGAATTATAACAGCTAACTGTGAGTTATACCGAACCGTCGGTCATTAGTTCGTTAGTTGTTGCCATACAAAGAAAAAAATGACAAATGAGCTCGGTGTGCATTGAACAGTTTTCTTCTCCGTGACTTTTACTTCTCTTTCAGCTTCATTCGTTTCCTTAGAAACGTAACTACCTGCAAGTTTTATCCCACACATTCAAACTAACATGATAAATTGATTATTTGCGTTGCCCCAGATCCGTGAACTCATAGTTTCGTGCCAAGACACTGATATAAAACCTAATTAGCGAAAGCCTTCATCTGTCGAAACTTATTCAACTTGATACCGAAAGGAGCCGGTGGCGGTAAGTAAGATCAACAATGCATGACAGCAATATATCAGCGAAACCAATAAAAGCCTGCATTTCGAACGACTCAAAAGGATAGGACGAAAAATGAAACCAGTGGAGCATGGCCTGTGGCCAACGGCCACGCGGTGCTTCTATCGTTCCTTGCCAAATTGAAACCTTCAAAGCGCCTGTTCAGTCCATTTATTCAACTCGATCGTCGCAATTGTTGTGGCCCGCATCGCCAAGTGTACTCAAAAATTGATTGCCATGAAAAAACTAGCTCAAAAGTCAGCGTGAACCCTTCGTTACTGAACCTAGTATGCTTTACCATACGGGAAATGCCAGCAAAAAAAAAAAACATAAATATAAACACCATTTGATTTGGCATATTTCTAGCGGAAAATGAGCCGGTGAGTAACGGTGGTCCTTTTGCCAAAGGCCTACAATAGAAACAAAAACCTATCTGAGCTCATACCATCAGGACCTTGCAAAAAAGAACTTGCATAGTGCATACTGCATACCATCCACAAGGCACCCACTGGTAATAAGCTAAAATACGTATTCATGCGTTGATAATGAACCCCAGATGACACGATGCCGACCACAATTTTCACGGTCTTCTGAGGCTAACTCTAGTCATTCGATTACGTAGGGTAAAAGTAGGAAGCGTAGCTTTGCAGCGCGATAGGTTTTTCGACAAGTCCGACACCATTATCATTATCAGACGTCCGGCACGACGCTGAGCGGTCCCAGCGTCGCAAGAGATCGATATTCTCGACGTACAGGTCTCGCGGGTTTTAGCGGTAGGTTTTGCACCTAGAAAATTTAGTGTAGGTACTAAGTACTTCAGGCTATATCTTCGTCATCTTAAGCTTTTAGGTGTTGAAGATCCGATCGACTTGTTGGGTAACAAGCCGGCCATGATCGTGTAAAATGGCATCATCGTAGATCGATTAGTTTCTGAGATATAACCGGAAATGTAAAAGTGCAAAACCTACCGCTTCATCCCGCGAGAGCCGTACGGTCAGCTTCAAGACACTAGACAGACACGATTATGTTTCGACAACTTAGCTCGTGATGGCAAAAATGGCAATTAAAATATTTGAAATGAAAAACTAAAAGTCGTGGTTTTCACTTTTCCAAGGACATTTTTTTACTAAGTAGGTAGGTACATTCTATCTATTCTCAACGGGCTATAGCTATCGTCAAAAGTGGCATGGATCATGTATCACTCAATTTAGCAGATTCCAAAGGAGATTCAGTGATCACAGATCACGGGTGCCGAATGCCTAGGCACTAAATTACCGAATAATCGACACTGATTCAGTGGCGAGTGTCAGTGTGTAGTGTGTACAGTGTACCTGTAGTCTCAAAGTCGAGGAAAGTTCTGACCCTCGCTTTGCAAAATTATTATCCATGCAAGGGCACAGCGGCGTCGACGCGTAAGGAAAACTGGTCCGACTTTTTCTCGGGGGGCCCCCACCGGTGGGGGGTGGGGGCCCCCGTGGCCGCAGCAGGGGCCCCCCGAGAGCCCCAACAGGGGCCCCCCGCGGCCGCAGAAGGGGACCCCGCGGGCCGCAGCAGGGCCCCGCGGTGTCTAGCAGGGCCCCAGAGACGCAGCAGGGCCCCCGCGGTGTCTAGCAGGGCCCCCGAGCCGCAGTAGGGCCCCCGCGGTCTGCAGCAGTGGCAGGGGCCCCCGCGATCGCCACAGCAGGGCACCGCCTTGTCGAAAAAGTGGTCCGACTAGTCGGAAAAGTCGGACCGGTGTCGACGCCCCTGCAAGGGCAAACTAGCAAGGTACTTCACACAACTGACGCTTTCAGTGACATTTTGAGCAGGATGAGACCGAAAACAAAAAACAAAAAAGGACGCAGTGGCAGGGGCCAGGGCTAAAGCAAAATTGCCAAAACAAAAATCCGGCATGCTTACCTCCGCACAATCTACGAATAAATGAGTTCGGTAGACTATAAGGCAGTGAAGATACACAGAAAACCTCGCGTAGCAAAATTACAATTCAAATTAATCCAAAACTCGCACCAAACTACCGCGCGGTGTCTGAAACCAAAATGAATTCGGCCGGAAGCAGACAAAAAGTAGTGGTGGAGTGTCTAGGAAAAAATATATGGTTCTGTTACGTCATAGCACTCAACCAATGAGAATGCGGTCATAGCAGCTTATTTTTAAAGATTTGATGTGAATATAAAATATATGAAGCGTAACACTCAGCAAAACATTATTTACATAAATATTTATAATAAATACTCTCAAACTGACAATTACATTTAGGGTTGTTTGGCCGTTTGTCGGGTCTCATGACGCAAGATTTACCTCTCCATTTACAAGCAAGTGCGTAATTCCGCGTAGTTCGAAAACCACGTGAAGGCTGGAGAAGTGGAGACGTTTACGACGTTTACCGCGTCAAACAAACGCAATGCAAATGTTTGCTTCCAGATGAAGAAATAATGATGCCAGATGCAAGACTTTTTTACCGGAAAATACGAGGCATATGCCTTACATGGGTTACACAATAAATACACCTTACAATGAAAGGCTACGGACTTCAAGGCTTTTTATGTGAAATGGAACTCCTATTTCTAAAAACGTTCAAATAATCGTTCAGAAATGTAACCGGCCCAAGTCAGGGGCGGTCGCAGACTTGGCGTTTGGGGGGGGGGGCCAACTTGGCAAAGGGGCCCCTGCACTGAACCGGGGGGCCCGGTGCTAGCTTAACCCTCGCACGACCAGGCCATTTCTCATAACACGAACGACCAGGGGGGGGGGGGTTGTTACGACCCCCCCCTGGCGTTTCGAAACAGAAGGTCGTAGAGCTTAGCGGAAAAAACCAACGGCTTGCTCTCAACGAGATCTCGCGATTGGTGGTATATTTTTTGGTCCTAGGTCAACATTTGACCTACTTTTGACCGGTCAAAGGTCAAATTTTCGGAAAAATAGACTTTTTTCAACTTTCGGCGGCGATTGCGGCAAAACGGTGGGAGATATCGACTTAAAACCTTCACTATCGTGTTTCTTGATCAATTCTCTATCGTTTGGTATGTATTTCGTTTCCCTAGCTCTAAAAATGGCGCGTTGGGAGCGCCGGAAGTCGGCAAGGTCGCAGTCGGCGGCAGAAATTCGAAAAATCAAAATTTAAATTTTTTTTAAATCTGATTGTATTTTTGGATTTGGGAGGTCCATTTGCTCCCTATAGAAGCTAATATTGCTGCATATTCCCATTGAGGTGACAAGAATTAGCAAAATAGTGGTTCGGGCGCTTTTCAAAAATAGTACCGGACGCTGTTCCTCTTGTGACGTCATAGCTCCGTGACCTGACCTGACCCGGTCAAATTTCTTATACCATATGATAGCCAATACTTGCCCCAACATGCATAGGAAGTTTCATCACGATCCATCAACCGATGTCCGTACCACCGGCAGGAAACCTCGGGCGTTGGCACTCAGTTTGTGAAAATCCGGCCGGAGGCTGTACCTCTTATGACGTCATAACTCCGTGACCTGACATGACCCGATCAATTTTTTTTCGGCAAAAGATGCGCAAAGGTTGCCCCAGAGGGTATTGAAAATTTCAGCCCGCTACGACAAGCCGTTTAGCGTGCACTTCGAAAAAACCTCAGGGGGGGGGGGGTTGATACAACCCCCCCCCCCTAGGCGTTCTAGGGTTAAAGGGGCCCACGGGCGTAGTGCATGAGTGCAGAAATCTAGCCATGACCGGTGAAGCGGGGGGGGGGGGGGTAGGGAGCGGCACCCGAGCGGAGGCTCATTGCCAGCTTTGAGAGTGTACGATGTCGAAAAGGTAAGTTCATTTGGAAGCATTGGTAATGTCAATAACTCACGCAACTGTCAATTGACTACCGCAAAAAGTACGAGCTAACTTAGCCATTTTGAAGATATCGTGCTAAAACTTTTGACAGTGGGTCATCGGTACGTGTTCAATCACACGTGTTCCGTTTCTTATTTTTCACTTGAGCACACATGTAAGTTTTGAAGACCATCACAGTAGCAACTGCATCGAAAGATGGATGGTAGTGGGCAAAATATCCTGAATTTGTCGTGCTGCATCGAAAGTAGTGTTGATGAGAAAATGGGTTTTATTCCAGATTATTGTGGGTAGAGAATACATTGTCTGCACCCACTGGATAATCATTGTTGGTGCAACTTCACCCACTGCACCCGTGGCTCCTACACTAATAGGCCCATGGATAACGCTTCGGCGATACCTATCGCATAGAGGCTGCAATGTGGCCCTTAGAGTACAGCGTCAGACCCCCAGAGGCCGGCGTTGGACCCAAGGGTCAGCGAAGGGCCTCAAGGGCCCCAGATGGGGCCCCAGAGGCTGATGTGGGCCCTCAGAGGCAAATGCGTGACGCCCAAAGGTAAGTCTTGAGCCCCCATAGAACATAATACAGCCATCAGTGGCCGGTGTAGAGACCTCATAGGCCAGTTGGGGGCATGTAGAGGCCAGTTTAGGGCCCTCAGAGACCAGTACAGGGTCTGCAAAGGGCAGTTTGAGACCATGAGAGACCGACTTAGGCACTCAGATGCTAATGTGGGTCCTTACAGGACAGCATGGGGCCCTCAGAGGTTAGCGTGGCCGCCGTGGGGCCCTTAAAGACCGGCATGGGTCGGCGTTGGACCCCAGAGGCCAGCCTCAAAGGCCAAAGATGGGCCCTCAAAGGTGATGCGGGCCCTAAGAGGCCGGCATCGGGTGTTCAGAATCCAGTGCGGGGCCCTCAGAGGCTAATGTGCGCCCTTACAGCCCAGCATGGGGCCCTCAGAGGTCAGAATGGGGCCCGGAAAGACTGGCATGGGCCGGCGTTGGACCCCAGAGGCCAGCAGAGGGCCCTCAAAGGCCAAGATGGGCCCTCAGAGGCCGATGCGGGCCCTTAGAGGCCGGTATCAGGTCTTCAGAATTCAGTGCGGGGCCCATAGAGGCTAATGTATGTCCTCACAGGCCAGCATGGGGCCCTCAGAGGTCAGTGTGGGGCCCTAAAACTCCGGCATGGGCCGGCGTTGGAACCCAGAGGCCAGCGGAGGGCCCTCAAAGGCCAAGATGGGCCCTCAGAGGCCGATGCGGGCCCTTGGAGGCTGGCATTGGGTCTTCAGAATCCAGTGCGGGGGGCCTCAGAGGCTAATGTGGGTCCTCATAGGCTAGCATGGGGCCCTTAGAGGTCAGTGTGGGGCCCTAAAAGACCGGCATAGGCCGGCGTTGGACCCCAGAGACCAGCGGAGGGCCCTCAAAGACCAAGAGGGGCCCTCAGAGGTCGATCCGGGCTCTTAGTGGCCGACATCGGGTCTTCAGAATCCAGTGCGGGGCCCTCAAAGACAATTAAAGGCTAGTCTTGAGACAGAAATGAGGCCACCAGAGCCTGTGTAAGGCCCTCAGCCGCCGGTTGGGCCCCTGAGACCGGTTTAGGGGCCCTTAAAGGCCAGTGGAGGGCCCTCAGAGGTCAACGTGGGTCCTCAGCGGTCAATGTGGGCGCTTGACCGCCACTGAAGGGCCCTCAGAGGTGAGTGTAGGACCCTCAAAGACCGGTATGGGAGCTGTTAATAGCTGGCGTGGGTTTCTCGAGCCTCGTGACAATCGAATACGGGCCAGGGCCCCATACGCCCATGGGGGCCCATCGGTTGTTTGGGGGGGGGGGGGGCCAAATGATATGATGGCCCCCCCTGATTTGCCTTTGGGGGGGGGGGGGGCCATGGCCCTGATGGCCCCCCCCCCCTGCGACCGCCACTGGCCCAAGTCTCGTATAACAAAATGACATGAACACTGGACAGCTTCCACTTTCTATGGTTATAAATCATCCAGATGCCCAGCAGTAAATGGTAAAATATCTGATAGAAGCAATGTCTGATGAATAGCAGTAAACAAAAATTAGAGGGGAGAGTTCATTTAAAAATGGGGTAATACATGAGCAAATAAGGCTCCTGTAGGCTGTAGTATCCGTGACAAATACTTTTATGCACGTTTCCCGATTACCTGGTTACGGGATGTGGCCAGTGGCCATGCCTTATATTGAACCATGCAAAAAAGAAGTATACGGTAATCCATGCATCGAAAGTTGCTGCACGTATCTGCAATTCGGAATTGTTGTCAATGCGTCAGCTATGAACATAATCAATGTCCCAGCATAGATGTATTTTTCTATGGGTCACTCACAGCGAATGCCCAAGATCGTCACCATCAGTGGGCAGTGGGGTCAATACATCAGCACAAGCTTCACATCGAAAAATCCTCGAGCAGAACAGAAGTAAATAAAATACGAACACCAGCACAAGCTTTCACATCAAGCAATCATCGAGCCAAAACAGAAGCACAGAAGTTGAAATTTAGCGGAGCGCGTTCATGAACCAATAAAGAACACATACGAACGGAACGTAACAAACGAATTGAATACAGATCAACTCCGACCAACATGCCAACATCCAATCCATTTTTGACGTCGGACGAGCTCAATCACAGATGTTGTATACGCAAAAGCGCGTAATGCAAGTGCCATTTTTTCTCACAGACACGCCATTTGTTGTCCGTCCGTGCCATCTCCCTCTAGAGGCTGTCGTACTCTTGACGCAACTTTATATACATATACACAGCTCACACACCACTTCTCACTTTCTCACCATATCCTCTCGACTTTTTACACCGGCCTTCCGACTACACCGCACGGACCACAGCCTTCTGCACATCAGTTTTTCAATGCAGCACTAATTACACCTAACACCGGTTCTTCAATATGACACACCATTGCACCACAGCCCAAACACCCTTCCTTCAGTAAAACTTATGAATGGTAACCTTATCCGCCCCCTCCGTCTCATCGGGCGTAAAAACGACCTTGACCCTGCGGAACGGCGGCTCGTCGGGCTTGTGAATGATGACGTCACGGGGTACCATCACGTGACGCGATCCCTTGTCGGTGAAGAAAGTCATAAGGAGCGAGGAGCACTCGCCCGTGTCCTCGCTATGCACGACGGTGATCTCGGTGGGCAGGTTGGTCTCCAGGGAGATGACCTCGTTGTCCGGATTGTCAGTGTCTGTTTGGATCAGAGTGGTCCGGTGCACGCTCTGGTCCTCGATGTGGACCTGGGGGAGAGGGAGGGGTGTGGTAGAGAGAGGGATGCCTCAAAGGGGTACTCTCCACGGATGAGATGTGGTCTGAGACTCCGACGGACACTAAGGATGTTCTGGTCTTTGTCAACCTTACGGCAGTTTTAAGATGGGTGTAGTTTGGATCAGAAGGGACAGAATAGCATCCAGGTGGACGTTGAGGAGAGCGATGGATAACAACAGCTGGGAGACAACAATGCTCCACCCTAATCGAACACCGACGGAGTGCAATCAGACAGCCTACTCCATGCAGGTCGCTAATCAGAGTCAATCACCTCAACTGCCGGAATCTTGACACCGAGCTCTGGTTTCACACGCCGTCAGACCTATCTGATCCAGCCTCTGTCCGCCAGCTCGACCCACCCCGCCCCAATCCATCCGGCATCCTCCATCTCCAGTCACAATGCATCAGCCGTAACCAAACCACCGCTCTCAGCTACTCTCCCTCCCGTCCCACGACCGTCGCCACCCAGCCCTGACCTCAGCAACTCCCCCATCCTCCCCATGGCCGTCGACGCTTCATCTTCGGTCTTTGGCAGCCCCCCCCCCCAGCCACATCACCTCGCCCAACCCTCACAACCCCTCTGTCGGCTCCACCGTCACCCCTCAAGCCACCCCGGCCCTCCAGGCGCTCACCCCGCCCCTGTCATCCCCACCGTCTCCCCTCACGCCCCCCTTCCCCCACTGACCTGCGGAACCACCGGCTCATCCAGCGCCCCGGAGCCCGAGAAGCGCGTCGGTCGCGGCTCCGAGTCGCCCGGGTCGTCGACCAGCTCCGACTGCAGCGCCTCTACCGGCGGCGGCGCGAACGTGCGCGGCTCGTCGGCCGGCATTGTGCCGAGCGAGGCGTCCGCCGGTGGCGCTATCTGCAGGGATAGCGAGTCGCCGACAGAGACGTAGTCTATAGTCGGCACGGTCTCGGCCTCTGCGAAGACGAGAAGTGAGGGAAGGAGTTAGTATCCACGGGGCAGAGCAGATACAACGCAAATAGATGGTAGAGTCCAAGGCCCTAAAACATAGGTCGAGTCGGATCAGCCCATACTTTCAATCACCAGTCTGATTTTATTTTGTTTTGTTGGGTTAGGCCCTTTCGGTCCAATGGGACCATTGCAGAGCCGGAAGGATGATAATTGATAGGAATTAGGGGTGACATTGGTCTGGGCAGACACCCTAAAGAGTCACCGGAGCTGAGCCCGTCCGTCAGGACAGGCCGCCCAGCCCCCCCCCCCCCCAAGTACTCTCTGCAACCGGCGAGGAGTGTGCTCCGCCTTGGGAGCTGCGGTGCCGCTCCAAGGGAGCAGCCCGCACAGGGCGTATTTTAACATGTCAACTGGGTCGGCAATTGCCGACCCAGTCACGGAGAATGCCGACCCAGTGACAGCCGTTTGCCGACCCAGTTGCCGCCCCCTCTAGGATGCAGCACGCACATGCAGGCTAGGTGCCGTCATTCATAGTGAGGCTGCTGCCCTCCAAAATGATAATGCCGCCTCTTAAAGTGAACCAGCCGTCTATAGAAAGTGATCATCCCGCAACTCAATGTGACAGTGCCGCCCCTAAATCTGTTAGTAGCCCCACTCAATGTAATGGTGCCGCCCTTCTAAGCATCTGTGGAGCCCCTCAATGTGATGATACCGCCCCTCAAGAAGATGATGCCGCCCCTTTCAGTATCGGTGGCGCCCCTCAATGTGATGGTGCCGCCCTCAAAGTGCCGGTGGCGCCCCTGAATGTGATGGTGCTGCCCGCCAACGAGTCGGTGGCGCCCCTCAAAATGATGCTGCCGCCCCTAATAGTGTCAGTGACGCCCTTCGAAGTGTCGGAGGAACCCACCAATATGATGGTGCCGCCCCTCTAGATATCCACACAGCCCCTCATTGTGATGGAGCCGCCCCTCAAGCAGATGATGCCGCCCCTGAATGTGATGGTGCTGCCCGCTAACGAGTCGATGGCGCCTCTCAAAATGATGCTGCCGCCCCTTAAGTGTTAGTGCCGCCCCTTATAGTGTCAGTGACGCTCTTCGAAGTGTCAGAGGAACCCACCAATGTAATGGTGCCGCCCCTCTAGGTATCCACATAGCCCCTCAATTGTGATGGAGCTGCCCCTCAAGCAGATGATGCCGCCCCTCAAGAAGATGATGCCGCCCCTTTCAGTATCGGTGGCGCCCCTCAATGTGATGGTGCCTCCCTCAAAGTGCCAGTGGCGCCCCTAAATGTGATGGTGTCTCCTGTCAACGAGTCGGTGGCGCCCCTCAAAATGATGCTGCCGCCCCTAAAAGTGCTGGTGCCGCCCCTTAAAGTGTCAGTGGCGCCCTTCAAAGTTTTGGAGGAACTCATCAGTCATCAATACAATGTTGCCGCCCTCTAACTTTCTGTAGCGTCCCTCCATATACATAATGGTGCCGCTTCTCAAACCATCCGTGGCGCCCCTCAAAGTGATGGTGCCGCCCCTTACAGTGTCGGGGGTTTCTCCTCAAAAGTCAAGGTGCCGCCTCTCAAAGAAATGCTGGTGTCCCTCGAAGTGTCGGAGGCGCTCCTCAATGATGTTGCCGCCCCTCAAACCTTCCGTAACGCCCCTCCACGTCATGGTGCCGCCCCCCAATGTGCTCATGGCGCCCTTAAATGTGATAGTAACGCCGGTCAAAGTGCTCCTGGCAGTGTCGGTGGTGCCCCTTATAGTGTCGGTGGCGCCCCGAACAGTATCGGTGGTGCCCCTCAAAGTGATGATGTTACCCTCAAACAAACGGTGGCGCCCTTCGAAGTATCGGAGTCCCTAAATATCATACCTATTGCCACCCATTAACCATCTGTAGCGCCCCTCCATATGATGAAGCCGCCCCTTAAAGTATCCGCGGCGTTCCTTAAAGTTACAGTGCCGCCCCTTACAATGTGGGTGGCGTCCTCAAAATAAAAGTGATGTTGCCCCCCCCCCCCCGAGTAATGTTGGCGTCTCTTCTTTAAGTATCGGAGGCGCTCCTCATTGTCAACTGCTCACATGGCGCCCTTCAATGTAATGGTGCCACCCCTCAACGCTCAAAGAGATAATTGCGCTCCTCACAGTATCGGTGGTGTCCCTCAAAGTGGTTTAAGTGCCCTAAAAAAAAAATGGTGGCGCGCCTCAAAATGATGCTGCCGTCCCTTAGCATATCTGCAGCGCCCCCAAAATGATAGTGCCTTCCCTTAACCGGCGCCGGGCTGAGGTTGTTTGAACCCCCTCCCGACCCCTATAACTTGGCTACTTGGGCCACGTAGCGACACGCGGTAAGCGGCATTCGAAGGAGTGTCAAAACTACTTGGGTTAGTTGGTTAACCGTACTTTGGTTAGGTCAAGTCAAATGTCAAATATCAGGTGACCAGAGGTCATCAAAGGTGAAATGTGGGTGAAATGTTGTCTGTTTCAACATTTATTGACAAACTGGCGCATAACTCGGGGAATAATAGAACTACAGCACCGCAAAAAAGCGCATTCGATAGCTCTTCAACGTTCCTATAAAGTCCTCAGACTTGACCTAACATCAACGACTTAACCTCCAGAGCACAACTTGTTTAACCCTTGTCGGGCCGGGGAGGGTTAAAGGGGACAGTGGACCCCCTCCGCCCCTCTACTGAGCTGTTTTAATGAAGAACCTTTTTACTTTAATAATTATTGACTCACGAAAGTTATGACATCGTTTTTTTCAGTACTGCGCTCCTCTCGTCGAGATGCGTCGAATGAACTATAATTTGACATTCAAATGTCATTTGGAAAATTTGAGCTCAGGTCCAGGTCATGACCTGACTGGTAAAGGTCATGTTGCATATCAGTCGATTTGTATCGTCAAACTGAAATCATCTAAGGTGTTTTCATCGCTCAGGCATATCGCATGTCTCTATCAGAAGTTATTGAAAAAAAACCTGCTGGAGGCCTACCAATCCATGACCTGACATTACCTCAAGGACATAACGAGGGGTCGTTGGTGGCATTTTTCCGATTAAGTGTGTCATTTTTAATTGTTTTCTGATGTTTAAATTCGTTAACTTTGACATTTGTCTACCTAAAAGAGGCACATGCCCCGACTTTCTCCCATTTCCTTATACCTAATGGAAGGGTCGCAAAATTGTCCTTACCTTTGGTCAAAGACATCGCAATTTCGAGACTTACATTTTATGTACTTACAGTGACACACTGTTTGTCTTATCAATCGCTGAAGTTATAAAGGGATCGTTCAGTCGGTATATCTATGGTGAGCATTTGCCTGTTCCGTAGCTCAGTTGGTAGAGCACCGGACTCCCCGCATTGTCTCCGCTTGCGTTTTGTCCGCCGGCCGAGCCGGAGAGAAAGTTACCGAGTGAAGGTCATTCAAATTTCAAAAACTCAATGACAATGTCACTGGGGTCACCAAAATGTTTGAGCAGGTAGGTATAGCATTCATTAACTGGGGGGGGGGGGGGATGAACTTATCTGTGCAATACGCTGTTCATTACGCGAGTAACTAATAAATACAAAATGTATGAGTTCATCCTTACTCCACCCGCTCTCCCTCTCCATAAAAAGAGAGTTTAAATGTGTTGAATTTTATTTATACCTATGCAGAAAAATAGAGACGTCTAAGGATATGGCCGAATATCAGCGACCCTTGCTCATTGCTGTGTAAGCAATGAGGTATGACAAGTGGGGGTAATGGCCCCGTCCAGCGCCCATAAAGTGGGCACCACTCGTGCGACCTGCCGACCACTGTTCTAGATAGAGCCATAAAACGCGTGAATGTTTTAAGCTTGACGATACGGATCGACTGGTATGCAACATGTTCTATTTCTGGTGAGGTCATGAACTTGACCTCAGGTAATTTTTTTTTTTTGTAAAATCAAATTATATTTCATTTATCGCATTATGATGAGAGAAAAACTATATCCCGGAAATACCGCTGAGCTTAGGTTGAATCTGAAATCATTACTTAGAAAGAGTTATAAAAGAACCTTCGAACGTGTCTTTTTTGGTCATTAAATATCAGTAGGTATGCCGCCCCCTCAGATGCCAAGTGCCGCCCCTATGAGTGCAAAATGCCGCCCCTAATTGTGATTGCCGACCCAGTGAAAATCCCTTAAAATACGCCCTGAGCCCGCATGAGATAAAGTTGCCTGTCCAGCCCGGAGGGGGGTTGCGCCGTGGAGGAGAAGGATTTCAATGTCCCGATGATGGAAACGACGGACGTTTGTCACCGGTCTGCGCTTCAAAACCCTCAAACTTGCAGCTCATAGCAAGCTCTTTCGTTGCGAAAAGACCATTCATAGAACTTGAGACGGCCCACCCTTCCACTCAAGCGGTTACCTCCAGAAAAGGCGTCCTAAGTCCGAGTCATCCTCACCGTTTCTGTGGAGGTGGTGACCGTAAACCCGGATAAGGTAGTGTGAACGAGGATGCGGATGGGTTGGTCCTGAGGAAACCAAAGACATATGCAGCTGCTTTAACCCCCTCTACACTTCTACACTCTTCGAAGAAAGTCTCCTACTTACCAAATAGTAAACGACAGCCATAAGACAACAGCTCACCTTTCTGCCCAGCCTCGGTGAGCCCCGCAATGGCTAGCGGATCCTGCGGGACGAGCGGAGCGGCGACGATGGCCACCTTTCCCCGGGGCAGCAGCGGCGGCTGTCCGCGGCCGCGGCTCAGGCGGAAAAACTGCTTCCCCGGCAGAACGGTGATCGTGAGGTCGTTGGAGACGCTGTCGGCGGTGTCGACGACCGAGGGGGTAGCGGGGGTGTCCGTGTTGAGCTGTCGAATAAGCTGGCGGCCGCGGCTTTTGGCGACCGGCAACCGGCGCGGACGAGGGATCTTGCTCCTGGGGAGGACGACAGAAGAGTTTGGTGAGACGTGTCGGGCTGATGAGTGCCGGATCGAGTCAGAGAAGCACAGCACGTAACAGAACGTTACACAAAATAAATGCTGTCTTATGATATTCCGTCTTCTGACGACTAACAAGTGCCAGCAAGTGTCTTCTGACGATAAGATAAAATACGATAAGATCCATGGACTGGGTCAAGATGGATGCTTAGAACAAAACGACCGGCAACTCAACGGGGTGATAAATAACTGAATACCTTACAACATATCACGCACTCAATCCAAAGCATTCACCACTCTCAGCCCTACCCCGCCCAGTGGGACCCCCGCATCAGTCGCCTCTCACCTCTCCTTGTAGGTATGGTTGATCGGTACATTCGTCTCAATGACGTCATCATCCTTATTGTACAACCCCGCCACATAGGTGGCCATGGACGCGCTCGTATCGAACTGGTCCGAATGCTCCTCGCGCAGGTGCTTTTTGAACTCGCGAGCGTAGTTGGTGCCAAACTGCGGCCGCGAGGGATCGTCGGAGGTGCAGAACTTGCACATATACATCGAGAGGCCCGGGTGACAGCGTGTGGTGATGATGTGCTTCCGAAGGTTCTCCTGAAGAATAGAGGGTGCCGAAAGGGAGGGTCAAGCGAGGGCCAGTCCCTCGGTCGGTAGGAGAGATCAAACACAGTAAGATATATCGTAGAAACGGACAACAAATCCTCAAAATGTTTTTTTTTTACGATTTTGACGCCAGTATTCACCAGTGCACTTTATACGATAGACGCAAAAAGGTGAAAAGTATCGTTTTGCGCGGATCTTTTACAACTAACAGCCGAGCTAAACTAAATGTAAACAGGCATCAAACGTGGGGATAGACTCAAAAGTTGGAAGTGAACCGTGACATGTAGGAACTAATCGCACGATGATTGATCAAACATGTCACGCGCAAACAAGCGTTACCGTTACAGTAAACTGCTTGAAACATCAACATTGAATTGATTATGTCAACATGAAACACGTAAAGCAATAACAGATAACACGAAACACAAAAGACGAAACAGTGTCAACGTGAGCCAGAGCATGGCACAATCCTGAATTTCATTTGAAATCCACCACATACACCTAGTTTGACAGGCTAGACGTCATGAAAACTCCCCGAATGTCGAAAAACAAAACATGTTCATCTCGTTAGCCGGTTGCTTCACCCTAATCCCTCATCGCTCCCACATCTTCCCCATCACAGGTACGGTTACTTACGAAGTTGTTGGCTTTGTACTCGCAGTAGGGGCACGGGAACGGCCGCGATCCCGTGTGGATACGCATGTGTCGCTTCAGGTGCGGCGGGAAGCGGGTGGCGAACTCGCAGTGTTTGCATTTGTACGGCTTCAGACCGGTGTGCAGGTTCATGTGTCTGGGGGGGGGGGGGGGGGAGGCGTAAGGTCAGTATGGCGTAAGGAAAGTGGCGGCAACTGTAAATCATGAGATACATAAACAATGACGAGAACACGAGATAAATGAAAACATCTCAGAAAGAGCTCCGGCCTGCTTGCGATTTCCGTACATAGGTAAATACCTAACCATCAAAAGCTTCATGTTCATCTCGTACTACCTCCCTCCGTCTCTTCATTCCCTCCTCCCTCCTCTCTCCCTCCTATACCATCTCACATTTCCAGCGTAACGGCCGTGTTGCAGGCGAATGAATACTGGGTGAAATTTATCCTAACTTCCCCATCATGACTGATCACTCTCTCTCTCCCTAATCTCTCCTCCCTCCCACTTCCGCATTCAGTGACATTGCCGTTCTACAGGAGAACGAACATTGGATGACATCCCTCTCATTTCCCTTCCTTTTCTCTGTCCTCCCTCCCTTTCCTCCCCCCCCCCCCCCAACTCACGTGTCCAGTGCAATCGCCGTACTGCAGGAGAAGGAGCACTGCGTGCAGCTGAAGCGGCGGTAGTCCGGGTGCTGCACCTTCAGATGTCGGTTCAGCAGACTCGAGTGAGTAGACGAGAAGTCGCAGCCCTCCACGGGACACCGTCGCTCCTCACCACGGTGCTCGCGGTTCAAGTGCATACGTGCCGCGTGTCTGGCACACACGTGGCATGAGGTCAGGAGGGTGGGGTTAGATCAAAGATGACATTGACTATCACTATAGTTGATAACTCCTGTTTGATGTGGTTTGATATGCGGCGAATACAAAACATGATTGATAAAATAGGCGATAACAGCGCAACGGATGTACAATGCCAATGCACTAATCAATCGGCGGGGAACACATTTGATGAGCGGAACGGGAAAGGCGATACATAAATAAATCAGGAATCAGGAACACAAGACAGGTTCACAAAACCACAAGTGGTAATGATCTTGACGCCAAAACCTAAGTAGGTAGGTACCGCTCTCAAAATGTTCGACGTCCCGCCGACATATCTCAAAGCCTGTAAGCCATAAATAACTCAAATTGTCTCGTACTACAGCGGGCGTCATGAGCGGATAATAATCGAATCTGATGTTTAAAAAGCAAAAATGGACGAATTGTATCAGTAGCAATAAAGCTTCAAAACACAATATAATCAAGGAAAGAGCGACATTGATCATAGGCTGATCTATTGAACTCAATAGATTCTCATGACACTTAACGCCACTCAAGACAGATTTTGAGTAATTTACTTCGCTGATTTTCATACACCGACGTATGCCGCAAAAAAACCAATGATTTATTGTTTGATGACGAGAGATTCAAAGATCGTAATTTCCACGGGAACCGTGAGCAAGCGGCAAGATTCTTTCAGTAGCAGTCACTTCGAATCAGGTAACTTGCCCCTTGCGCAAGACGAGAGAAGTGCGGGTCTGCAAGGCATCACGAAAACTTAAAGAGTGCAGCGAAACTTTTTACGATCTCGCTTTTATTTACTCACTACATATTACTTACTCACTCGCTCACCCACTCTCTCTCCCTTCCTCTCTCCCTCCTCCCACACCCCCTCTCCCCATCCTTACCCGTTCGGGAACTTTTTCTCGCAGATCGGGCACCCCACCTCGGGCTGGAAGGCCCGCTGGATGCCGGCGATAGTGCCCTCCTCCGACGGAAGCTTGTTCTTGTGCTGTCGCTGCCGCTCCTGGTGCGAGACAAGCTCGTGATGATCGCGCTCCTCCTCCAAAAAGAAGTACCTGGGGAGGGAGGGTGGTAACTGAGCATACAGGAAGGACCGTTTGATTGGTGAGAATTTTCAGGCTGCATTTATGTATGCTGCACGACGACAATGTAAACCAGGACGGCGGGGAAGCATTTGCGTTGCGTGGAGGTTTTGAAACAAGAAATTTCACAGACACGAACGCATTGGCAATTCGTAGTCGACCCTACACACCCATACAGTGGAAAGAAATCAATTCTTTCCCGCCGACCGCTTGGATGACTCACGGGTCATCGTAACCGTTATTCGTGGCCTGCCCTACAAACTTCACTGAATGAATGGGTGTGTGTAACAAATCACTTCCATTGCACTCCAATCGGCCCACTTCAGCCGAAAATCTCAATCATAAATCCATAACTAGGATTTAAAAATCAGAGCCGTAAAAGAACTCAAACCAGTTTGTGTTCAGAGTCCGGTAACTGATCAGTGGGGCGCACTTCAGACAGAGGTACCAGTGAACGTCCGATTATATCGTTTCATATAATGACCCGATTACAAACGTGTGTCAGGGGTCGTCACCGCATTTCCGGTACGGCCTCCAGCGGTGTCTTTCAATCAACATTTTTAGACGATTCTCATACAAAACTCGGACGCTAGACGTCTTCCTGTTCATTTCACAAATGGGCCTTTTCGGCGACGGGTAGTAAAACATATTTAAGAAGGATCACATGACTTTATGATGGCTTTACGGCCTGAGTGACGGGCCGAGGAAAAACTTATCGGTCGGTACGAGCGGCGCCGGCCGGTGATCCATAAAGCTGTCAGCGGCCCTCAATCAGCCGCGCTGCCCCGGACGGCCGTGACACTTGATAACGGTGTGAAACGGGCCAATTCGCGGCTCGGTCTGGGGTGCGCCCACGCACACACCACACACTGGCTTCGCCCGGGATCGTTAGACTTAACCTTCCAGGCGGTGGGGGGGGGGGGGGGCATTTTTTGCCCCCCTTTAGTTTTTTCAATATATCTCGAGAGAACAGCTGCGCCGATCGTCACCAAACTTTCAGTACCCTCCCGGGAGCAGCTAGCGCACATGGTGACCAAAATTTTTTCCAAAGGCTATGATAGGTTGGCCACTAATGACGTCAGAGTGACGTCATTTTTGCCATTTTCGACCCAAAAAAAGGTTTCGCGGGAAGAGCTGTCAGGCCTACAGCTTTAGAGATACAGAAAAATGTTTCAGACATAAAAGGTGTGGAATCAAAAGGGCTACAAAACTGCTATTTCAGTTTTTCGAATTTGTTGGATTTTGACCCCCAAAAATCAAAAAATAGATTTTTTGAATATAATAGCCAAAAAATCCAAACAGTATTTTGAATTTCGAAAAACCGGAATATAAGTGATAGTCCCTACCGCCTTCTATCTACATACCAAATTTGAGATCGATACCTCTTTTTTGGCCAAGTTATAGCGAAAAAACTGTTCAAAATTGATGACGTCAAATTTTCAAACTCAATTTTTAGCAATTATAGACCTCGTAGCGCAAAACAAAGACCACCATTAGACTCCCCGTGACGAGCTGCATCGAATCGATACCCATTTTATGCAAAAATATCAACTTTGAAATTTGACCTTTTTTGACCTGACCTTGACCTGACCTCCACCAGAAAGTGACCTAAACCGTACCTGATGGTCTTAAAACCAACACCATTGAGTTGGAAATGAAAAACTGGCCATAAAACATGCATCGCACAACCTTAGTAAAGTTGGGTTCATGTGGTGACCCTTGGTGACCTTTGGTGACCTGACCTGTGACCTGACCTGGTATGACCAGTGACCTCTAATAGCAACATATGTACTAGACAACTGACGCCTTATCGCTGATTTTCGACAAAATGCGTTTTACTCGGTGTTGTAGCGCTTTCCCTAGAAGCCCCGTGAACGGTGAAACATTTTTATCTTTGACCTGACCTGTGACCTCATCGGTGACCCCGAGGTCAATGAAGTTTGGGTACCCTCAACAAATTTGACACGGCTATCGAACGCCGTTTGAATTTTCCGGATCCGTCCAGTAGTTTCGGAGATACGGGGGGAGGCAAAAAAATGCCCCCCCCCCCCCCACCGCGCGGAAGGTGGCTGGTAGGCCCACCGCCTGCCGGGTTAACAACTCACAGTTCACACTCTGTGAGCGAGAGTACCCACGAAATCGATTCCTCGAAACCACTGGCACAATGACCAAGAGAACTCATAGACCCGAGGAACGGCATGACGACTCAACGGCTTGAACCAGGAAACAGGTATAACTAATAAGGTGACACAGAATGACAAAGAGAAATAGTCTGACGAGCAACGACACAGCCAATGAGGTGGTCCGATTGAAGGTGTACTGTAAATGACCCTTGAAGTCTTGAGACGAGCTTCGTGACAGTGGAGAAGCCTGACTCACCTGGAGCAGTACAGACAATGGAAGGGCGCCTCTCCCGTGTGTTTCATCAGGTGTGACTTCAGCGACGGTTTCCGGAAGTAGAGGTCACACAGGGGACACAGATAGCGCAGCGGGGTCCGTTTGCCTGTGGCGCCCTTCTGGGCGGTCGGTCGGGAGGTGGTCTTCTTCCGGCTGGTGTGCGGCGCGTGGTGGGTGAGGGACTCGTGGAACAGCACGTTCACCTGCCGGTCGCAGGGGAGGGTGAGAGGGTGAGAGGTACAGTGATGTGACACAGAGGGAGGGGTGAGAGAGGACGGATACAGTGGGAGAGGTGAAACAATCCGGTAGTGCTGAAGAAAACAAGACTAAGGAGAGGGAAAATACTAAATAGCATACCTAACGGTACTGGCATTGAATGGTAGTATGCATATTTCACAGGAACAGGCCAGTCGCTAAATACATTACAAGAGCACAATGACATGAAGAGTATGAAGAGTTGATCTACAGCATTCACCCAAAACTCTCCAGTCAATAAATGTAACATGCTACCCTTCAAGAGCAGATGGGAACCGTAGGTCCTGTCCACACCGGACTGATCTACTCCGTCAGGTAATAAGACGACCCGTCAGGATTACATCGAGGTCCACCCTCGGTCTACTCACGTTAGACAGCGGGGGGGGGGGGGAGGCTGGAGTGGAAGGGAGGGGATCCGCCGAGTCTGACGCGTCAAACATTCTCCGGACCACTGCGAAGTGACTTGGTCGCGTCACAGAGGAATGTGTCTCGGGTACCGCCTCGACACCTGTCCAGTGGACATTTGACATGTCATTAGACGCGTCACGGCGGACCTGCCACGACGGACTTATGTAATGCCCGTCCAGCGCTGTCTAACGCGAGTGGGGGAAGGCGGCCCGACCATTTGACGTTTGGAAGAATGCATGACACAGCCGAACAGTCAACGTAGCCAATGTCATGTATCGCGCCTGACACAGCATGCTAAGCGTACAGCGAGCCCTCGCTGTGAATCCCATGTCATACCCCATATTAGTCAGTGGGTGCAAGAAACATACATGTACCGCCATTCGTATCAAACGAACACTGCAATCAGACATTGTCAATGTCCGATCTGCCAAAGAAAAACCTAAAACAAAGCCGGCCGCATCGGATCAGGTGTTGTCGCTTTCCTTCGAATCACGAAACAGTGCTGTCCGCACAAGGCGTGAGCTCGCCTGGAAAACCCACATCGGGACAGTGATGGATGTATAGTGAGAGGAGTGAGCGAGCCCGAACAGACGCCCACCATCACTCAGGGCGGTGGGTTCCATCACTCAGCAGTGCACGTCCGGGTCATTAATGAACGGGGTACTGGCGGAGCTGTGAAGAGAGGGAGAGAGGGAGAGAGGGAAGGAGGAAGAGAGAGAGAGAGAGAGAGAGAGAGAGAGAGAGAGAGAGAGAGAGAGAGAGAGAGAGAGAGAGAGAGAGAGAGAGAGAGAGAGAGAGAGAGAGAGAGAGAGAGAGAGAGAGAGAGAGAGAGAGAGAGAGAGAGAGAGAGAACGGGAGCGGATAAGGAATAGTTCGGTGTCTAGCGGGCGAGTTCTCAGACGTTTAGACGTTGGAGAGCGACACCTGACGCGGGCGAATTAACCCAAATGACGGTGGTAGTGCATAATTTCGTAAAGGGCTAATTATGTGTACATCAAAATAGCTAGTTTAATTGCACACAGGATAGTCATGAACCGTGATGACTCAACAAAAAACAGCAATCATTTACTGTCCATGGCATCCATAATCTACATAGTACATAGATCACTTCCTAGATCTAACATAAATCAACGCTCCTTATCGGGGCAAACAGCCACACTGACTGGACAACTTCCTGGGAAGCTTTCCGGCGCCCGTCACCCATTGACAGGCTAACGGGGCGCGGGGCCAGGCGTCCCATATACGTCCACCACGGAACATCGAGCCCCTGTCGGCTGTTGTGTATCAGTGATGCCGGCGGACGTCATCGCGCCATCTCTGATGACGCCGCCGTCAGTCACGTCAGCGGCCGTGTCGCCGTGCGATGAGCCGCCATCGGTGAGGTGATACGCACGCCATCCGCGGCTATCAAATATCGGGCGGGCTCGGACGGACGGTGGACGGTCGCCGCACCGATCAATCTCCGGACATGGCCGTCAGCCGACAGGACGGGACGGGACGGGAAGACACACGACTGCTGCTCGGCTGGGAAGGCCCAGAGCTGAGAGCGGCTGCTGTCCTCCCAGAGACCACCGCGGTGCCCTGAGAGGGACCTCTGTCTAATCGACGACGCGGACGGCTAGGAAGGGCCACTGAACTCGGAGAGGTCCCTGTCCAAGGAGGGACCGCCTCATGAACAATCAGCTGGGAGTCTGTCGTGGCTCTCAACCTCCAAGGGTAAGGATTGGATAGGCGACATGGAACTATATGTAAATATAAATGCATGCCATGGCAATAATACAAATACAACAACAAAAACAATTCTCACTATAACTGAAGACTTAAGTTATAAATAACCGTTAGTAACGATTGAAGCTAATATAAACAACCACCTAAATGTCACACTTCTACTCGAACCCTTGCTTCAATTCGATATACATCGATCGTTCCACGTTCTCCAACATATCTCCAACATACGTAGCTACCCAATACCCTCCCCAGCTCCCATCCATTCGCCACTCACCTTGAGATTATTCCTGAAGTCACAGTGGCGGCACGCGTGCTTCCCCTGCCGCACATTTCCGTCGTACTGACACAGGCTCTTCCTCAGGTGCTTCTCCACCTCCTGAGCGCTGTTGAGCAGCTTGCCGCACGTCTCACAGCGGCGGGACACAAAGTGGAAGTGCCGGTGACGCTTCTTCATCTCAGGAGTCATCACCAGGCCACACTGCTTGCACATGCTGATCCCGAGCGGGTCGGCGCTGTGCCGGCGCACCACGTGTTGGCGGGCGGCAAACTCTAGCTCAAATTGAGCCTGGCACAGGCCGCAGCCGAAGCCGTTACCGGCGGCAGAGAGGGTGATGGGGCCCCGCTGGTGCTCCGGCGTGTCCATATGGTCGTCAGTGAGGACCGGCTCGTCGCAGCGCGAGCAGCGCTTCTCGGCGCGCCTCAGCCGGTGGCTGAGCGACTTGATGTGCAGTTTCAGGTCGGAGAGGAGGTTACAGGAGAACTGGCACGGCAGACAGCGGTACGGAGCGTAAGGCGCCGCGCTGGCCATGGCCTCCACAGTCAGCACGTTGAGTAGCGCCGCCATGGAGTCACTGTCGCTGCTGCTGGAGGTCTCGTCCAGCGCCGGTTTGAATACCTGGTAGGCGGCCACGTGGTCCTCACTGAACACGTGCGAGGCCAGACTAGAATCGTGCACGGGACCGCACAGCGGGCAGGTGTAGAGCGTCTCCATGAAACTCTTCACATATATCTTGCCGAGGGGCCGGGGGCTGCCGGCGCGACCTTCAGAGTCGCCGCCACCTCCAGCGCTGTCTTCAGCGTCTTCACCGCCCTCTTCACCGACACTGTCATCGAGTTCATCACCATCCCGTTCACCGAAATCGTCATCAAATTCTCCAGCATCACCGCCACCGTCATTTCCATCATTACCACCATCCTCATCCTCATTTGACGACGGAAAATCCTTAAACGTCACCCTTTTCTTCCGCTTAGCCTTCCGTTGCGGCGGCGGTGGCGTCTGCCTCTTGAGTGCGCATTTAAGGATATCCTCCACGGCACCAAACTCATCATCGGACTGCATGCCCGGCTCGAGTCCAGCCACGGCAGCCGCCTCCTGCGCCGAACGCACCCAGGCCGGCTCGCGCAGACCTGGCTTCCGTTTGCCGAGTTTGCGCATCGCTCGAGTAGTCATACTCGGCTGTAGGCCGGACTTGTGCGTCAGCTGAATGTGCTCGCTGAGCGCGTTGCGTGTTTTGAACTGGATGCCGCACTCCTTACAGCGTGTGCGCGCCTTGCGTTTGGCCGCTGAGCGCGTGCGGACCGGAGAGGAGGGAGGGGAGGACTCTTCGTCGGCGGGAGGGGAAGAGGGAGGCGAGTAGGCAGGAGACCCCGCCGGAGAGTCGTCTGCAAAGTCGGGGGAGTCGGCAAACGGCACGGTCTCGGTGGTCACGGCAGGCGGCACCGGCTCCTGCTCTGGATCCTGCTCCTGTTCCATCTCCTGTTCCGGCCACGGATCCTGCTCTGAATCCGGATCCTGTTCCCAATCAGGCTCCGGATCCAGCTCCGGCTCCGGGCCCGGTTCCGGCGGCGACGGAGGTACGACCCGCAACGTTAGCGGTATGGTGGAGGACAGCAGATTCTTCGACAACGGCATCATGCTGCCAGACTGGAGCGTCCCAGCACGTATCACCGTTGCCGGACTCATGCTCGGTTGTTGAATGGTGGCCAGTTCAGGACCCCCTGGCGAGACCGAGACCGTGACGCCCCTGAGGACACCCTTTAGTGCATCGACTCCATCTCCGAGCGTGATTTTCTTCACGTCGATGATTGGGAGGGAGGACCGAGGCCTGGCGGCGGTGGGGGTGCGGGCGGGGGTGATGACGGGGACAGGGGTGCGGACAGGGGCGCGGGAGGGGGTGCGGGTGGGGGTGCGGGTGGGGGTTAAAGCGGAACATCCGGTCTGCCGGTGAGCCACGTAGGCGTCCAGACCGATTATTGTCCTCGAACAGGCGAGACAGTGGTGAACATCGTTCGCGTCCGCTGGGAAGAGAGACGAGGGGTCAGTCAGTGTCGGTAGGGTGATAGAGCAAACAGTCGGCGAATCAGTGGACACTGGACAAGGTACGTATCACGACGAGCCGGCGTACCGAGGCGATAATTCGGTTAAAAGAAAGTGGATTGTATGTCACTTTCAAAGCTCAGAAGAAGTTCAAACCAAAGTTGAAAATATATTGCATTGAAACGATAAAACGAAAATGTCCCCGTTCTGTACCTATAATGGCAATGGCGGATCCAGAAAGGCGGTCTCATGGACGTTGCACGGGGCATACCCTCCAAAAAGTTTCAATTCCCAAAAACTCCGCGCATTTTGATTCCTTACGCACTCCTATGCGATTTAAAAACTTCCTAATAAAAGTTGTTTTGTTTTCATTTTATCCTCGAAAAAAAAAACTCGTCGATTTCGGGCACCGGTGGGGGGGGGGGGGGCATTTCCCCGTGGATCAGCCAGTCACAGTGCCTTATGGAATTGGACGCATTGGTGACAGAAGACAGGCGGCAATGTAGTTACACGTCGTTTATCCATTATCAATGTAGTTAGATACAAAAAGGCCTGCCCTTTCCAGTCCGAAACAGTTCAGCGCCAGTGTTTTATTTCTGTGTTTGTGTAAATGATAGTGGTTAATAAGGTTATCACATTAGTGCCGGCATCAGAGTCTCGGCACAGAGCAGATTCAACAGTGCAGGGCCTGCCTTTTTGACCCTGGAGGTCTAAAGGCTGAAGCTTCTCCGCCCAGGGACGGGATGGATCACTTAGTTACTGGGGAGGTCAATCGGCTGGGGCCTTACCCACATCCTGAACCAAAACTTGTTTTGGTATGATTCGCGGTCATGTGTGCGCGTAGGTGGGAAACCGGGTCCATGGACCGCAAGCATGGGGGTGGCGGCGGGTGCAAACCAGGGCTGCGGAGTCGGGAGTCGCCAAAATCTTGCCGACTCCGACTCCAGAGTCGTAGTTAATGCTGCATGGCAAACAGGTGCACTGCACCTGTTTGCTTGACGATGGTGCGCTCGAAATTATATTTTGTCAAAAAAGGTCATTTTGCTGTTTTGGACGAACGTTTTCAGCGAAAGAAGCAGAAGACGGTGAATTCCGCAGAACCTGCTTTTTAATCCTGCATGTTATTTTTAATGCATCCTATTCAGTAGCGGCGGAACACCTTCACTCCTGTTGGGGGAGGGGCACTGCCGACTTTTGGTCCCATTCTTTCCATGCAACGCCCATAGGGCTAATGTTAAAATGCCAAAATCAAAGGGGGCACGGTGCCCCGGTGCCCTCCCCGTTCCACCGCCTATCACCTATGATCCTATTTGCAGCGCAAAGTCAAATAAAAAAACCATCGACTCAGCAACCCTCGGGCCTCGGTTAACACTACCAATCGTGCGAGGGAAATAAATTGGGCACAGCTTTTCCTAAGTGACCCACTTTAAGCTGGGAAGTAATGCAGTACCAGCGCCACACCGCCTCAACACTGAACCCATTACCCACTATCCAATACCCTACCCACCCCGGAACCAACTCCCCATATCCGTATCGAAGCCTAGTGGAACCGGCGTGATTTGCCATCTAGCGGACAGGAGTCGAACTGAAGCTATTGCGGTCCTAGATGGCGCCACCAATCAGTCACCGCAACACGCCAAAGAAACAAAACGAAGTAAATATACATGAAACCGACGAAGAGAGCATACAATTTGCGTGATATTTCTGTAATAAAATGCAAAATTCAGTAATGACCAATAATTCTGCTGACGAAGGCAAAAATTAAACCAACGTTGAACTACGGGTAAAACAGGCGCCATCTTAGCGTCAAACAGCTTAGAAGCATATTTCTGGCGAAGTTCACACGAAAGCACCCCAAAAACACCCGAAGAATACGTATCAGATTACAGTCCGTGTGCGACTTACCCATTTTTGTTGACAAACACCGGAGACGGCGACAAACGAACAAAAGTCACGATCAACATCGACCGTAGCACAGCGCCGCGGCGGCTCGCACTGGCTCCGCCTCTCGCTCCGCCCACCCGGTGACGTCACGCCGCTCGGAGTGCAATCCATGGAAGGTGTCCGTGTTTTCAGTGAACGTCAGAGTCAAGTCAGAGTGGTAGCGGCCGCGACGGAGGGGTGCGCGCGCGAGCTGCCGTGCTGCCGGAGCCGGGCGCTGGCCGAAACACTGTTTTATCAGACGATTTTTGGACGGATCTGAGCGAGAGTGGACTGTCGCAGTGCGTTGGAGTGGTTTGTGACCCGAGGCGGACGCGGGACGATGCTGGTTTAGACACCGGGACTTGAGTGACAACGACTGACAGGTGAAGAGCAGGACCGAAAATGCCTCGTCGGAAGCAGGACTGCCCCAAACGGATGCAATGTGAGTACCGATCGTTGACACACGCCCTTCTCGCCCTATCCTGTGTGTTCACGTTGCAACTTTACGCCCGTCCGTTTTCGCCCCTCCACCGCCCTCGACCACGTGTGTGCTGGCGGCAGCGGGTCAAAATCGCTGGAGGCGGGGCGCTGCAGGATGCCCTGCATGTTTTACGGTTCAGCCGGGGTGCAGAAGAGCGGCCGAACTGCAGAAACCGACTGCTAAATGCGTGAATTTCATGCGGCGGCGTTTGCTTGCTGACGTGATTTGCCGTGGATTTAGAGCGGTCACGTGAACTGGCAAAGCGAACAATTATTATCCTTTTTTACCTATAAGCGCCCGAAAGATACCGGCGGTACGGGATAAAATCATTAAACCGCTCGTAGGTAGAAAAATATTTTAAACGTCTCGATTTGTTCTACCTACTCGCGGTTTATTATATATTAAACGTCAATAGACTAACTAGACGGAAGGTCGTTGTCGTTCTGTTTATCGATGACGGTTTGTGATTCGAACCCAAGAACATCTTTAAGAAATGCTACATGGAACAATTGCCATGGTGTTTTCACCGCCGTTTACCGCTGTGTTGAACGGCACTGGACAAATATTTGTTTTAGACGATCCATGTGTCGCTAATAATTTGATTTCATTTAACTGGCGGGATATACCTACCTAAATGACGGGAAATGCATTAATATACAATTACTTTTGGACGATTTTTGACTATGTTTTGATATTTTAGTCTCCATTGTGGGCGTAGTCATCAATGCAATCGGGGAACAACCTATTTATATACACTGTGAGCTAACCAACATGTTTATCGAGTCTTTTTAGGCATTCAGTGATCAAAGTTGCGCCTGTTTTATGCTGCAATATCATTAGTCATTTGTTTTTGTTCTTTTTTTAGCCTATAAGTACGTAGATAGGCATGTATTTTGTTACTTTTAAGCACCAAACGGCCTTTTAGTGTTCGAAACGTTAGCGTTCAATGACCATTTTTGTTGCTTATTTTAAGACGACAGACGTTAACTAGTGCTACTCAGATAAAATCGCGGTAATATTAAAACTGCCATTGTTTTGACCGATGGTTTTCATTTGACATTTTATCCCGTGATTTCTTTCGTTGATCCAGAGGCAGAAGGGCGTCGAACTATTTATAAACGTCAATTTGGATTCTTCAAAAGCATTGTTACTCTGTTCAATTTCTGTTTCTACAGAATAGCTGATGGATGTTCCCACTTCAGTGCGTCAATGTTCCGCTTTTTTACTGCGATTTTCGAACTTGTTTCATTATTGTTGTTTTGATTGATCGGCCTTTTAAATTTGAGCGACTGGAATGCTGATTGTTCACTTTTCATTGTGCGTATATTATACATAGTTATGTTGCACTTCGGTTGCACGTTTATATCTTAGGCACACCTATCTTTACCGATTGTTTTTGTCGGCTACCCATAAACGAATTTTTTAAGCTTTCCGTTAAAGCCTTATGTTTCTCCGTTCACGTCTGAAAAGCTCTTATCGTTCGGGTAAATATGTTAGTTTTACTTCATTTACCTTCTTTACCCAGAATAAGCTCAATCATCAGCTAAGTTAGTTAGGTGCCAGCAGATGTAGGTCTCCATTCTTAGTTTGTTAGATTTTTAGCTAGAATTTCATTTTAATTTTTCGTCTGTACCTTCTTAGTTACTTATAATAAATCAAGTCGATGGGGCTCCTGGTGATTTCCGTAGTCTCTACTGAGTACTTATGTTCGATTCTTCGCCCCCCCCCCCTGGCGCCAAATGACTGAAACGTTTACTTTTGGAATTTTGATTTAATTGCCCGGTTGGTGAATGGTGTTATTTGATACTCCTGTTGCAGAAACTACTGGTCATTTACAGGGTGTCCCGAAAGTTTTGCAACATCCTTAACGTTGTAAATTAAACACTTCAGAGTTGTCCTTTCCGCTTTATTTAACAACCAACATAGTCACCGCGAAGCCGGGCACACTTCTGGACACGTGATGGCATGCTGGCCACCAGGCGGCGCAGTGTGTCCGCGGAGATGTCTCTCCAGGCCTTCTTCAGCCGGCGCTCGAGCTGACCCAGGTTGGTGGCGGGCTCCTGCTGGTCGAGGCTCTCCTTCATGATTGCCCACACATTCTCTATCGGGTTTAGGTCGGGGGAGTTGCCAGGCCACTCCCCTTTACCCCAAAACTCTGGGAGGTGTTCCGCACACCATTCTTGTGTCCGCTTTGCGGTGTGTGCTGGTGCGCCATCTTGCATAAAAATTCCTTCTGACCTCCGGTCGACGATTTTCTTCTCCGTGACACCGCCATTGCTGCTCTTACGGTTGACCGCCGGCAGAAGTGAGCCCTCCAGAATCTCGGACACGTACTATGCGGTGTTGACAGTCTGTTTTTTTTTGGCACCACGTGAAGTTCAGTCAGGCCCTGTGCGGTCATTCCGCCCCACACCATGAGTTTCGCGGGGTGATTGATGGTTTCAACCGGGGGCACTTCGTCGCGAGATTTCGCCCAGACTCGATCGTTTTGCCGATTTGGCGTGTGCTGGATTTCGAAGATGGACTCGTCGGACCAGATGACGTTCTTGAACTCATCGAAGCCCCAATTTTTTACCCTCTTGCAAAATTCCAATCTTGCAAGCTTCTGTTTTCTTGTCATTTTCGGCTGTTTTGATCTTTTGTACGACCGGAAATGCTTCGACTGGGTCATGAACCGATGGACACCCGACTTTGACACCGGGTAACCCTTTCGCGTCAGCCGCGTGGCCAATTTCCTGACGCTTTGGCCACGCTTGCCAGCAGCTTTGGCACAGACGATTCTGGCGACGTTGGACACGGCACGCGGCCGGCCTGAACGTTTCTTGTCGGCTAACGGTTTGCCGTCGCGAAAACGTTTCCACCACCGGTAGACAGTGGTCCGATCGACGCCCAGCTTCTCTGCGACAACCCCCTGCGCCACGCCACCTTCCAGCAACCCGATCGCGCGGGAGCGCACCGCCTCTCTGCGCGTTACCCGTCCGGCCACCTTCTTGTCTGCGACTGACCTAAGGTCAGACGGCGGCCGCCCCAGACGGGTCAGCCGTGCCCCGCGGCAATAACCGCCGCTGGGTCGGGTGGGCAGTCGCGCCGTCTACCCGGGACAAGCGGAAGGTTGCCAGTGGAACGTTGATATTAGCGGTAGAGACAAAACATATGGGAAAACGGATGTTGCAAAACTTTCGGGACACCCTGTAAATGTCATTTGTCACATTTGTGAAATCATTTGTATTGTTCAAAAGATAATATCTACCCTCTCACTTCAAAAGAAACTTATTTAACGTCAATAGGGACACATTTTGATGATTGCTGATGATTTTGTGTTACATTTAGGTACATTGAAATATGCGACTAAAAAGTAGATCAATGCCGCCAATTATTTTAAGATACTGTCTTTTGCACTATGCACGCACAACTTATCGGATGATCGGAGCCGAAGCGTTGCGTAGAAATTATATTGATAATCATTGCTGTGGTGCCCCGAGGCTGATGAACAACAATTCAAAATCGACGCCAACGCGACGAGTGAATGCAGCCCCTTTAGACATGTTATGCATTCAAAAATAGATAAGCGACTACCAAATGAATGGCGCGCGTACTTCAAGTGGACGCTGCAGCATTTGTGTTCGCGCGTGACGCGATTCATCCGGCGGGAGCCACACCAATCAGCGTTCAGAGGCCAGCAGCCGCCAGCGCGGCCAATCTTTGTAATTACCTAGCAATGAGGGAATTAATCACACCTTAGCCTACTCATCATCGCAACTAATTGGTATAGTTAACCGGGAGACCAAACAGTGGCCTAGGTGTGAGCCGGGATGCATTTTTGTAGCCGTTATAATGTGACATGATTGGTGTGCATAGTAGTTTGAAAGTGGTTTGAAGCGTTGCGACGCTGTACGGAGCTCTTTGGTCTGAAAGGTTGAGTGAAGGTGAATGTGATCTTATAGTCTGGAATGGACATAGCCTAGTGGACAGCTACGGAAGATGGCGTCAGTCTAGCTCTCTCACCCTCTGTCATTCTCCCTCCCCTGTTCCACTCTCTCCCCAACTCAAATCGTCTCCATATGTCGCCAACTATTTCAACGGCCCCACCGGTGTCGCACCATATCAATCTTGAGGGACGAACCATGTGTCAATTACGGCGCAGTCGCTCCAGTGACGCGTCTCACCGCGCCGAACTGCCGCTCCGGTTTGGGGGTCGCCCATCGAGACGATTCCCACTCCACGTCGTCTCCTGTCCGCCTCCACCCCATCGGTCCCGATTCTCTCCCGTATCCGCCCCGCCCGCCGTCCGCGACTTGTCTCTGCCCTCGACCGTCTCCGTCCGCGACCGACGACCGTCTCCTCCCGTCACCCTTTTTCGGCCGTCTTCCAATCGCGAGGTGTCCGAGAACATCAGGACGGTCGACACCGGAGCGGCGTGCGTCCGAAACCCGAGCGCCGCCGTCGGCACGCATCGTTCATACCTGGCTGGGCCTGATTGAAACCCGGCCCCAAAAACCGACGGCCGCGCCGACCGGTGTCCGATTCGAGCGCGCCGAGCGCCGCGCTGGCGGCGCGCCGTCGGCATTGACGACGCGGAAAGGGTGAAGAGGCCGCCGGCCGCTAATCCGCGTCGCTGATGGATTCCTGAAGGGACGCCGCCGACGACAATGGGCCGGCCCGGCCGCTACATTTCGGGCCCGTTTCAGACCAGTTTCAGGTCTTTTCGGCCCGATTCGGGGCGATTCGGGGCTTTTCCAGCGGTCGACTAGCGTTGTTCTGCGGATGG